GGTCGGCACTTAGAGTGCATCCTGGATACGGACCTACTCTATCCCAAAGAGATCGCACCTCAGAGCGCATCCTCGATACGGACTTACTCTACCAAGAAGACGTCGCACTTAGAGCGCATCCAGGATACGGACTTGCTCTATCTAAAGAGGACGGTCCCAGCAAGTTAAGATATACCGCAAACCCCGTGACACCGCAATAGCAGTTCAAACTTGTTTCATAATGACTTTTACCAACAAAGCTAAACGTACAAGAGAAGGTTTAAATTCTGTTGTCTAAGGCGCTATATCATTCGTATTTCACCTGTGTCATTGGAATGATATAGCCTTGAACAACAGAATTTCCATGATTGTTATTGGAATGACATATCTGCCGTCTTAGGGCTATGTCATTCCTATGACATAGGTAAAATATCTGCCGCCTTAGGGCTATGTCATTCCTATGACACAGGTAAAATATCTGCCGCCTTAGGGCTATGTCATTCCTATGACATAGGTAAAATATCTGCCGCCTTAGGGCTATGTCATTTCTATGACACAGGTAAAATATCCGCCGCCTTAGGGCTCATATGTCATTCCTATGACACAGGTAAAATATCTGCCGCCTTAGGGCTATGTCATTCCTATGACACAGGTAAAATATCTGCCGCCTTAGGGCTATGTCATTCCTATGACACAGGTAAAATATCTGCCGTCTTAGGGCTATGTCACTCCTATGACACGGTAAAATATCTGCCGTCTTAAGGCTATATAATTTCTATGACACAGCATGGTAAAATATCTGCCGTCTTAAGGCTATATAATTCCTATGACACAGGTAAAATATCTGCCGTCTTAGGGCTATGTCATTCCTGTGACACAGGTAAAATATCTGCCGGCTATGTCATTCCTATGACACAAGTGGAAATTCTGCTGTTCAGGGCTATATCATTCCAATGGCTCAGGTGACATATATCTGCCATGTCAAGGCTATGTCATTCCTATGACACAGGTGAGAATTCTCTTGTTCACTGGGCTATATCATTCAAGTGACACAGGTGAAAAATCTACCGTCTTTATTTGTCAAGCAATTTTTACATGTATGTAGACATTCTAGCATTGTTCCATTTAAAGATATATGTAGTCCAAAGTTACAATTACCCCATAACTGAAATTGTCGTGAACGAAAATGAACTACATTACAACTTACATACGTGCGCACAGCAAAACAGATTGTCTGTAAGACAACTTACGGTATGTTTCATTAGAAACAAGAATGATATGTCCCGGTCAGAATGGTTAGGGTGAATAGGGTGTAACGTGAAGTTCGAAGAAACAATTAACGTTAGTATGGTTAAACTGAGTGATCCTGATAGAACAACTATTAGAGGTAAGGCTTACATGTTATCTTGCAATAAAAAATAAATATATAGTTACTATATATATTATTTTTTATTGCAACTTGTACTACTACGCTGTGTATGCCGTATTGCCCAACGTACCAACCCGACCGTTACACTTTTTGTGTAACGGGGGCCGTTCGAGTTATTCTATGAAACATTTGGAAGCATGTGTGATAACAAAAGAGACTCCGGGCCGTACTGTTAGTTATAACACTGGCCAGAACATCCGTATCGAACGCAATCGCCGTCCAAGTATAAGCACATCTACGCGTATTAGCAGCTGTTAGGGGGAGTGGTTTGACCCGGAAGTAGACTGGACAGCGGTAGTCTGAAAACCCCCATGCAGACCGCAAAACACAGAAAAACCACGCCAAAATGAGTACTTAGAAGGTCAACTTTGACGGGACATATCTCGTCTTCCAGTGATTTTTGAATTTCCAACTGACCCATACACGGTGGTCTGACTCGTTGACATCACGGGAACACATAAACCAGCCTCATTTGACGTATCGTGACCGTACTACGACTTTTTGTATGGAGCATTCTAAGTACTCAATCCGGCGCGTCACACCACGTACCAAACCCCCATTTCTATAAGCCTGCTACGGACTTGGGCAGGCCCGCCCGGGCACTTGACTTGGGCAGGCCCGCCCGGGCACTTGACTTGGGCAGGCCCGCCCGGGCACTTGACTTGGGCAGGCCCGCCGGTTCAAACGTAACAAAGAAAAGAAAAGAAAGGTTTTTATCTACATTGAGATTATTTGCTCTGCTAGAAGGTAGTAATGATATCGCAAGATTTTCTTCTCTGGTTCACACCCCTACTAATGTAGTGGCAAAAATCCATCATGGCGGAAAGTGGAAAGATTTTAGTTGTGGTAGCAGAACACAGTTTTCGCCCTATGGGGATTTCTATAGTTAAGGACCCCAAGATGACTCACTTCGACGCGGTAAAAATTATAGCAGGGTGCACTTCACAAATACGAAAATCGAATATGTTTGAGAAGAAGGTACAAACTACAAAATATCTAGAAACCAAAAAATCCTGTCGGCGTATCTGCTCGTAACGTACACTTTGAAATCGCCTCCTACGGACGTGACCTGAACTGCAGCCGACTCACCCGGAAAGCCAGTTGCACAATACGGCGCATTTATACACGAACTGCAAAACCTTCACAAATCAAATCATACAGTCTCAAACCCGATACATTTCTACACCACACAGCACAATTTACATCTGGCTGACGCTCTTATCAGGCTTTCTACCCAGCCTTCAAGAATATTCGCTGCACTACTTTCTATACCCGCGTCATCGGGGGTCGCCCATTAATACTGTGACCTGCTACCTTGTGGTTGTTTGGCAGATTTGAGTTTGTTTCATCCCGATTTTCAACCTTTCTGTGTCATCTTGGTATTCTTAAGAAAACAGGAAATCATTCAAAGGTACTCTTTCACTCTTAAATGTATTCTGATAGCGTAAATAATTATTAAACCGCCATTATCCCGTGCTGATTTTGTGCGAGTGTGGGAGGGCAGAAATTTGTCTGAAAATATTTTGAGATTGTCAGTTCATGGTGCTCAGAAATTAGCTAAAAGGGAATATTTGCGGTCTTCTATGTTTTAAGGAAATACTGTTGGTTGGTTGTAGATAGTTCTACAAGGTTCAGTAGATTACAACTTGGCCGTTTGCACAGAACTAGCCATGTGGCCATCAAAATTTATTAGCCTGGGTGCCAGACCATAGCACACCGGACACAAAAGTATCTCAGTGTCCACTGAGATACTTTGTGTCTAGTGTGATGGGTATGGCACCCATGCTTTGTGGCCATGTGTTAAATTGGTTTCATTTATGAATTACATGTATGTATTTCTGTTTTTTCCAGTGCCCCATGGATGACCAGTCCAGCTGGGTGTGGTCGCCCATTGCCAGGGTGTACAACCCTCTGCGGGCAGGCAGTATCGATGGCACTGACCTGGACCCGCATGACAGGGCAGTCATCAGGGCCATGGATGCCAAGTACAGACCTAACAAACAGGTCAGGTTTCTGTATTGTAGATTCTCGTTGAAGAGATTCATCCGTCATGTGCATATCACAGTTAGTAGAATGTTCCTCAATCAGTGACATTTTTTAAAGGTAAAAACACGTTCCTCCAAATTTTTTATGTCCACTGTACATGATCACAGTCTCACGAGAACATGAGACCAGGTCGAGACTTGTATATTGTACAATTTGTAGATTGTTTTAGGAAAGGAAAACTTGACAGTAGGATACAGAGCTTTTTCTAGAAAAATTTAGCATGAGGGAGCAGATCGCAAGCATGGCAAGGAACGAAGCAACCGAGGGGGGATTTTCTAATAAGGGTATCACAGTTTGTAATGCTAGAATGCATTGTTGTATTGTTTTTACATCTTTACTGGAAAAAGATCATTTTGAGAAAGACTAAATGGTGTGTAAGTAGCCACATAGGGTTCAATTTGAAAAAAATTGGCATGAGGGAGCTGGCTGGTTACATGAGGGAGCAGTGCCCTTATTCCCCTGTTTAGAAAAAACCCTGGGATATGTTCTTTTGAACATTATGCAGATATAGTTTACATTTGTCTTGTGTGTTTTCCCATTCACCTACTACTAGTAAGTCATGGTGATCCACTTAACAAATACACACCAATTATCATATCTACATCTACATCTACGGATTACTGGACAATACCCCTCACGGGGTGTAATGTCCAGATATATATCTTTCAGTTAAGTTTATTGATACAAAGATTCCTTAGGTAAAGCAAGAGAATGAACATGCATTACATACTGCATGACAATATAAGAGATAGAAAAGGATATTTAATATTTTTTCAGTTGATACCTTCAGTTTAGTGTGTATTTTCATGAGGCTATCAATGTTTTTTCCAGGTGAAGGGTGATCCAAGATGTACCCTGTTTGTGTCCAACCTCAACCCCAAGACTACAGAAGATTCCTTGGAGAAAGTCTTCTCCAAATTTGGCGACATTGTCAGGATCAGGCTGGTCCGAGACATTGTGACAGGCTACTCCAAGAGATATGCCTTCATCGAGTACACAGATGAGAAATCCATGTGGCACGCTCACCGTAAGGCGTACAAGATGGAACTTGAACAGTATGAGGTCTTTGTTGATGTGGAAAATTCGCGGACACTAAAGGGATGGATCCCACGCAGACTAGGGGGTGGACTGGGGGGAAGTAAGGAGTCTGGACAGTTGAGGTTTGGTGGCAGAGCCAGACCATTCAGAAAACCCATAACAGTACATACAGAGGGGAGGGTAAAGAGATTGAATGAAGAGCCAGAGGACAACAGAGATCCGTATGAAAGGATGAGAGAGGAAAAAGAGAGGAGAGGATATGAAAGGGGGAGGGATAGAAGTAGGGAGTATGAGAGATACAGAGACAGGCACGGGGACAGAGATAGATACATGGATAAAGAGAGGGATAGAGGCATGGATAGAAGTGCAAATGATGATAGGGTAAGGGGTAGGGATAGGGACAGAGGTAGGGACAGGGATAGAGATAGGGACAGAAACAAGGATAGAGATAGGGACAGAGAAAGATATAGTGAAAAAGGAAAGAAGCGGGATAGAAACAAAAGCGAGGAAAGAGATGGAGAAAACAAGGCACAGTAGTAAAGAAAGAAAAGGATGTGGAAGGAGGACTGGAGACAAAAAGTCCCATTTGGTGGAACAAGTATAAAAACTGATTTGATGCTTAAAAGTACATGTACAAAATGTAGTAAGTAATTTCATTGAAAGACTAACAATGACATTAAATACCATCACAAAAGGAATCAAGAATGTGAGAATTTCTTTATTCTATCATCACAATTGGAAGCATTTGTACAGCTTGTCATTATCTTGGAATTGTTACAACTTGTGGCCTACATGTATAGTAAATATCTGTTTCTGTTGTATGAGGTATTTAGAAAAAATGCCTACGCTTCTTGTGACAGGCTGTTGTAAAAAATATTATGTTTTGTTTTGTTTTGAAAATACTACCTAAAGTAACCGACAGAAATGACATTTACTTTGGGGCCTGCCTCAAACTCCAAAGATATTATCCAAACTACCACTTTTTGTTTCACAGCTTACTCCTTTCTTTGTAAGTGTAGATTTAGAGTTTGACATCAACATGCCAAAATTGTATGCATTATCTTCAGGACAGTCTTAACACCTATCTTAAATTGTAAGTTACACAATATTGCTTTTTGCTTCTTGTCAATTACTTCATCCACCTAGAAGTAAAACGTTCTAAACCATGCATCCTACAACTTTTTATTCCTCTTCATAAAATTATTCTAAATCTACACAATTTTCATTGAAAACATCAAGATAAAGAAGAAAACTTTCTTCATCACATTTTCTCAGTTACAGTAAGTAATTGTTTACAGCACAACTTCTGTTTGGCCAGCCATGCACATTGATCAGTCACTGCCAGGAGTTGTCAGCTCTGCCGTCACCTGTACAATTGCACTGTAAAACTGTGGAAAGAAAAACAAAACACAAAAGTCTTCATGAATATGTATGTAGTATATATGCCAAACACAGACAGGTGCTGCCAAAGAATCCATGGTATTCTTAGAAATGATTAAAAGAAAAAAAAAAACAGACAAATGAATTTTCACAAACCATGATGAAGGTATTTGTCCCTGGATTAGCAGCTAGACGTTGAAGCCCAAGCTTCTCATGCACTCTTTGTGTGCTTCTATGAGGTCACCACAGTTTTCCTCTCCCTTCTCTATGATGCTGTGGGAGAAGACATCATAATTCAGAAGGTCATCTACAACATACATCACAATCAAGGTAGGAAGATGAAGCATGGTGTGACATACAAGGACATCATTTATGCTTTGATCAAGTACAGTAATATCATATACATGTATAAGAGAAAAATAGGATAAAAATATTGCATGATATTGATGGGTCATCAAAGTCATTGGGCCTGCCCTTACTCTATTGCTTTGGGTAAAGTACCAAAACTATGGGACACTAATCGCTAATGATATGAATGACTGGCCATTATTGAATTCAAGGGCATCCATACTAGTAAGCAACTGTCAGCATGACCACTCATAGCACCATGATATATTACACTGTCCTAAATATGACATTCCAGTATGAATTACGGGTCGCTCTTTAGCATTTCCCTTTTAAGAACTCCTACCAATTACCATATAATACAGAGCCGTATTTATGTAGTTAACCTTTTAAGAAATTTTGCCCCAGATTGTGGCCGCTATTTCATTAGTGGTGATATTACAATTGGCCCTTATGACCCGTTCTAAACTATTGAGCTATAACTGTTATATTTATAAATCATGTGGCTAAAACGGGTCAATGACCTTCCCAGGCATTTACAGTGCCTGTAGTGTAACCTTCAGGGCCTGTACAACCTTTCTGTAGTCACAGCTGCTTGTCATGTCTATGTCTGTGGTCACGTAGACCAAAGAGAATGAATATTTACGCAATAACTAAATCAAAATCCACATTATCTCTAACCAATGAATATAGGATAATCAAATATACTTTGCTCGTTTATTTTGACTTCAACCATTAAGCCATGGATCGATTTTCTTGCAAAACCAATATATAACGTTACTAGTCCCCGCGAAAGTAGGTCAAATCGAACACTGGGTCACATTCCCCTACCAGCTGTGTCTGGAAAAAATAGGGGTTGGAAAGATCCTAGAGGTCACCAGTACCAGACAAACGTCCTTTGTTTGTGATGTCTTCTTCTCGTTGTGTTTAAAGACATGCTGACATTTAGGTAGAGTTACAACACACTAAGGGTGGGAGGGGGGCGTATCACATGTTGCAAAGTTGCTTGACTCGTGGAGCTAAATAAATGCTGTAAGTAGAAATATTGAAGGCATAAAACTAGGATATGATGATAACAATGACCTATGAAGTTCCCATCGCTTTGGGCAATTGAGCGTTTGAAGACAACGGATCGAGAGTGGTGAGGGGGCGCTGTAGCAGACGACGTGTTTTAGCGATTAGCACGTTGCGTAACAAGCAAGCATGACTCCGCAAGAACTCGTACTCACCACGCATCTCTGACCTTCTTCGTCTCGGGACAGGCGCAGCACGGCTTCAACTTGGGCTTCTCACCTTCCCCGGCCTCTTGGACACCTTCTACGGGTGCTGGATCCGACATAATTGCCAAGAGAGGGTGAAATAACTGGCTCCAAATAATACAAAGAGCGTAATACAAAAGGTCTGGCCGTCCGACACAGCTTCACCTTCAGCTCGTACGCAGAGTTAGCAGGTAAAGTACCCTGGGAACGATGGAAAATACTGAAAGCTGATTGGTTAGAATCTTACCGAAGGGCAGTTCATCATCATCATCATGGCGGAAGGAGGTGAACATGAAAACATTCCTGCTGAGGTAACTGTTTAAAAACTCAATTTACTCAACATTTAGGACATCATTATTGTGTCTAAGAGGACTAGATAAGTCTTAAGACTACATTGATAGTGTTTGTTATCAAGATATTCCGTTATTCGTTGGCTATAACAAGATATGTAGGCCTCATAATTTGACTCATTCCACATCACCATGAAAGGTGGAGAAAAAACAAACAAATTTTTTTGTTCCCGTATTCCTTTTTGTATAGCTTGAGGAGGACCCACCAGAGGAAAAAGAGACCAAAGACACATCAGCAGTTGTAGGAGGCAAAAAACGGATGTTCCAGAAGGAATGTAAGTATAGTTCCAGCTTCAAATAATGTTTTCATCACCCCAACATCTGCTTGGAGATAGCATCTATGGAGATACAGCTTACAATGTAGTAGGTATAAATTATAGGCTGAATTTATTATAAAAAAAACAAAACAAACTAGCTATTATTACTATTAGTCACCCATTTCCCCATAGCCTTTGCTTTTGTATAGACTGCACCTCTTCAACAATACCTGTTTTCACAGTACGCTGTATGATGTATGGGTTTGGAGACGACCAGAACCCGTACGCTGAGTCAGTGGACTTACTGGAGGACCTGGTCATTGAGTTTATCACAGAAACGGTCAGTGGAACTTTAGCTTCATGTATACTAGTACTGTTTGTACTGTGCAGTGTTTCATATTTTGTGCTTTAATACTTGATCTAGACATTTCAGCATGCTCTTTACATTTGTCTTGAGGTAAAGCAAGTTCATAGATTGATAGAACAACATATTATGTTCATCTGAATACCTGTATCTGTGTCTTGGTTACTAAAGTTAAAACTCTTTGGTCTCCCTCAGATAACTACATGTATATGATTGCAGCCAGTATATTTTGACTGAAGTGAATAATCCTTGTAGTTGTATTGAAATTTGTGAACAACTTTTGATCATTTGAATTTTGATACATATCTTTGAAAGAGTGTACTAGACTTTCTTATGAATCAAGAAAAGCTGTGATCTTAAATCTCAACATTCATGTCATCTTAAATATTTTACTTTAAATACTTCACAGACACACAAGGCCATGGAGGTGGGAAGACCAGGAAGAGTACAAGTGGAGGATATAGTGTTCCTCATCAGGAAAGATCCCAGAAAATACGCCCGAGTGAAGGACTTGTTAACAATGAATGAAGAACTCAAGAAAGCCAGGAAGGCCTTTGATGAGTCAACTTATGTTAATGTTGCCTAGACAAAGACTAGTAATTTATCTTGCCAACATGTCCTCCTATCATGTCCCACAGTGAGAGGAATTGTCCATTGTGGTAAACTTACTTTTATTTTGTCACATCTTACATTGTTTCAGGGATGGCAATAAGGTAGTAAGAAATCAGGCAAAGTCTCAAAGTTGTGTCAATCATGTGTATAATATTATATTTTACATATTGCTTCATTTCCAGAAGCACTCTATCAAACTCTTACACAAAAACATTTTCATTGCTGAGAATTTTTTGTACATGTATGTACACTGTTGTGTTTGCTTATTCAATAAAGATTATTGTTAGTAATAATCTAACAAAGCGGAGACTGTTATCTCTTTGTAAATAATAATTAGTGCAACAGCTTTTCCAGGACCATTTTTCTTTTCTAACAGAACACACTGCACAAGAAACTTTGATGCAAATTATGATGCTGGTATTATACATGTACTGCAGTTAAGAACATGTAGTAGAGGTTTATTGTGCCCACTGGTGAATGACAACATATTAACTTACATGAAATAAGCGAAGAATCTCATTTTTGCGTACATGTGTCCAGCATTTGAACTAATAAGACAAATCATAATCTATTGGATAAAATTTTATTACAAACCATATTTTTACCAACACGTTTACAGGGAAAAGTGCATGTACTGTATATGCAACTCTTTACTGAATGAGCCAGTAAAACTGTCTTTGCCTTCAAACAGAGGTATTTTTGGCATCATTTTGTACAGTCAGCCCACTCCTGTTGTAACAGCCATGACTAATAGTCCATTTTCCCTAGGCTGAGAACCTTGTCTATATTGATGCTCCTCCAGAGTTTCCTGAAAGAGAAGAGAAAATACATTACATCATTATGCATTACTAATGTATGACTTACTCCTATATGTATAGTAAATGGAATTATAAAGCTTGAGATTTATGACATATTTCTGTCATATTTTCTATTGAATTTAAAATTACATTTCTGTTTTGAAGTTTCTAGTATGCTGACCCTGTATGTCAATAATACAGACATATGACAAACTTATAAATGATGAAAATAGCCCACCTTGCATCCCTCTGTGGTACATTTTCCCCCTCCAGATAGTCCTCTAGCTCTTCCTCCAAATCCTGCAAAAACATTGTGGTCATATGCATTAATGTATGTACATGGATTAAAAAATGACACATCAATAGGAGAAAAAACTAATGCATCACAAAGAGATCAAGCATTACCTGCACTTGCTTCTCCAAGTACTCATTCTGCTTTAATATCCTCTGGATGTCAATCTGAAAAATAGACAACATAGATTTTATTTATGAAACACAATCAAAATCAATGTTAATAAAAAAAATAATTTCGTACTCCTATGTGTGGTCTTAATGCAAATATGAAGGGCATCTGTTAGATTTCAAGTCATTCCCATAATCAGCATTCCTCTATCACTCATCTGATACAAGATTTCCCAATTTATTGAGACCACCTTAAACATGTCAATGCCAGCTTACCTCCGTCTCCTTGAGCTGATGGTCCAGATTCTGACAGACCTGGAGAGGAACAAACTCCTCCTGCAGGTTGTTTCTGATGGCCTCCATGTCATCCAGATTGTCCAGGATCTCAGCGTACAGATCCCTGATCTGTTCATCAATCTCCTTCGGCGGAGCCTCTTTGTACACAAACAGCTTGGACTTGGGTTCTGCATGGAAGGGGAGAGGGTTCATATCTATGAGCACGAAAATGTTTTCATGACTGAAGATAAAATAGTAAACCCTGACGAAGTCCTGTCTTTTTTTTTTAATGTAAAAACACAAAGGGTGGGAAGAAAAAATACCTTTTGCTTCTTCTTCAGCTGTTGCTAGACTCTCCCTGGCCTCTTGAAGTTCATTTCTCAACCTGTGAAGATAGAATTATGGAGAAAAAGATTTAGGTTTCAATGCTTATCTCAATAACACATTATCATTAACTATGAACCCACAAATTTCAAATGCAATGGAACCAATTCTCAGTTCAGAGCTATAGGATTTTTAGAACCAGGAAACATCAAGTGTAAACTTAGAATATGAAGATATTTTGTTTTGTCTGGTAATAGAAGTCATAATTACTAAATGTCAAATAAAAGCCAGAGGTAAATTAAGAGAAGACATGTGGTTGGTCAATCATGATGTAAACTGACCTGTCATTGGTGCTAAGGAGGTCCTTGGCCTGCAGCTCCAGTGACCTGACCTGCTGCATGGCCTCCTCCACCTCCCCCGGCGGGACAGGACTCTTGTCTGAGCTGGTACTCAGGTGTTCATATAACAGCCTGGGCTGCAGGTTCTGGGACTCCAGCAGGTGGGACAGGTACGCATCATACTCTTTCTACGGGGGAGGAAATACAAGATTATCATATTGGTTAGTTAATTAGTTAGGTGGGACAGGACTCTTGTCTGAGCTGGTACTCAGGTGTTCATATAACAGCCTGGGCTGCAGGTTCTGGGACTCCAGCAGGTGGGACAGGTACGCATCATACTCTTTCTACAGGGGAGGAAATACAAGATTATCATATTTGTTAAATTTATATAATAGTTTGTTAATTAGTTAGGTGGGACAGGACTCTTGTCTGAGCTGGTACTCATACAGCAGTCTGGGCTGCAGGTTCTGGGACTCCAGCAGGTGGGACAGGTACGCATCATACTCTTTCTACAGGGGAGGAAATGGTTTGGTTGGTTTTCCTGTAATGCCCATGATCATGATAATGATCATTCTGGCGTACTCATTTTCACCTGACCGAAGTGAGGAAAGTCGTGTAAAGTAAAGTGCCTTTCCCAAGGGCACAAGGTTAGTGACTTGGCAGGATTTGATCCCAGGACCTCTTGGTTCTGAGCCGCAGTGAACCTTGTACATGTAGATATACAGAACTTGAGCCATATTAAAGAACTGTAGGGTAGCAATTATGTACACACAACAACAGATGGTAAAGTGGATAGTGAGTTGTATTATTGGATCTGATTTATTGAAGAATTGCATGTTATTTACTGTTCATCTACTCTTTTGTCATCAATGACACAGAACATCAATAAAACACAAATGACCTTTCCTTGTCAAACTCAATAGAATAATACAACTATTCTAAAATACTTCACCTTCTCCATCTATATGAGCCATAAACCATCTAATAACTGCTAATAATCATCACCAACTACAATTCTTTTTTATGTTTTGATAATAGGTAGACCCTTCAAGGTTCATTTTCAAATTGTTGTACGTATCACTTTGCAGTGACAACAAGTCTCACCTTAATTTTGTTGAGCAGGTCCCCAAATACAGGTGACTCTTCACACAAGTCATCCAACACCTCTCTATGTGCCTGCAGACGGTGAAGTCGGTTGTAGTCACCTCGGGCATCCAACTCGTCAAGGAACTGTACAGGATGGAGGACAACAATATTTAATAGATCATATTTGTTAGATAGATGGATAAATATATTACCACAAATATTAAGTTTTTTGTCACAGCATTGGTTAGCAAGAATTGACAGTGCTAGAATGAAGTTCAAGGACACACGTCAGTAAGTTTTCCGCTGTCGAACTGTCACAAAACTTACGGCGTTCAACTTGGCCTCGTGATGGTCCACTGCTTTCTGTCCAGTCAACACTTTCCTCTCGTTAGCATCTCCCATCCTCATCACATCACTCTCAAACTCCTTCAGCCTGCTAAACTGTTCCTTCTTAGTTATCCCTGCTAAGTAAGACTGCATGAACGTGTGGTCCTTCATAGTTCTTAACTTGTGAGCGAAGTCTACTGATTTTGTCTTGGGTTCTGCCGGTCTCCTGGGAGAGTGGAGTAACAGTTCCGGCATGTTCAACTCCTCGACTCTCACGTTGTCGTCGATGTACGTTTCCCGGCTCTGAGTCGGATAAGACTGCGTAAGACGTTCTCGGTCTTTCCTGTCCTTCTCCCCGATGGAGGGGAGGACTGTCCGGCTCCTTTCGCCACCGCTACGGGAGACCTGAGCCCCGGTGGGCGAGGGGAACAGCGAAGTCGCGGGTAGACTTCCCGCCGTGCCCATGCTGAACTGTCGCGCCGTTTCTGACATTTGTCGCAGCTTCTCCCGCTGGAGTCGCACAGACTTCTGTCCCTTCGGAATGACGCTCGGCTCCCGTAGGGAAATACTGGCCTTGCCTGAACTCACCCATGGCTGGTGCGTCGCCCTCTCGGGTGGCTTGTAAAGTTTGTCGTGGTTGAGGTGACCGCTGGCGATGGTCAGGATGTCGTCCCGGTGTTTGTCGAGCACGGTGTCCATGAGCCGGCGGAGCTCCTGCTCCCGCACAGTCCGCGTCTCCGCCATCATCTGGTCCCTCTGTGTCCTGTACGTCTCCGAGGACAAAGACATCTACATCGCATCAAGTACCAACAAAGATAGGAAGGAACAACGGAGAGGTTATCCGGTTTCTTCAAAACTTTCTTCTAAAGGTAGCCATGTTTATTACCCAGGGGCCTGTGCGAGGTATCCATGGAAACCGGTAAATAATACCCTCAGCTGGCGCCCAGATTCTTATGTTGTCAACAGATGCGGGCTGTGTTTTGGGTGCAAAGTACGGGCATTGGGAAGAGAGAGGTTGTTGGTACTTTTGAAATTCAGATTTGTCACGATATGGGACGGATACAGGTACAATAACGTAACCCTTAAACGTTTTGCTCAAGCGTTTGTTATTGTTTGTGTAACAAAACATGAGACGTCAGAGTCACACCCCAGTTCGCCTCAGTAGACTTTCATGGTGACTGATATGGCAACACGGCGCGCCGCTTGTAGTGAAAACATTCCAGTTTTGGGACGCAATGCAGCCCAACAATTCGCACAAGGACACCGGGATAGTACCTATTCAGAAATCCCAGAGCAGGAACATTTTATCATAGGACATCTAAGCACTGAATCCCTCACAACTTAAAGTTAAAATCCCCACGATAAACTTTAACAGCTGGACAACCTCAAAGAAGCTTACCATTCCTATAGTATGCTAACGTTATCCATGTATTGAGAAATTGAGGATGCGACAAGCACAGAATTCAGAACTCTTGAAGAAAGTTTATTTTCTCACTGCACAATGGACCGAATCACTCAACAACAAAACTGTGTTCGCTAATGTCAATATTTGTCACATAAATTGTAACGGCAGTGAACCTTAATCCGACACTTTTACGTAAACGCACGATTGAATATCTATAAAAGTACAAAAATAAAATAATTTGAGAGTATATGATACCGACCAGTCTAAACAGATGATAACTGATGTTGTCAGTAAATTTTGCAAATTTTGTCATACTTGGGGAGCAATCGAATCCTTCATAACAAGTTACAAGAAATCGACTGAAAATCACCCCAATACTCAATTCACACAATCATTCAACACTGAGTAATTGTTACATTATAATACAACATAAACAATATAAACACTGAAAATGGATATAGCAGCAATCTTCTCTGTCAAAACATGTTGTACTTCTCATACACTAGGAATGTAACGTTACACTTCTTACACAAATAAATATATTCAACTTTCAAATGAGGTAACAAAAACAAAAATGCCTCAAATATCCAGAAACGCAGCAGCAATTTGTCAATAAAGACATTTCACAAACAACATTTGAGAATGCACAAAACAATATACTTAGTATTCATTAATTTACCAGCACCACTAATCATACTGTGGAAAAACAACTGTGTAAGGACGGCAGCAATATGAAGCACTTGAGAAATTGACAAACTGTACTATTATTACAGCAACAATACTGTTTGTAAATCATATAATGTTACATGTATACCTGACAATCAACACATTTGAAAAATGTATTTTATAGATTCCCATAACTGTACATAGACGTTTGCATATGTTTACGTTGCATCTCATGTAAGACCGAATCCTTTACAGTTCTCTATAGCAGTGAGAAGTCTGTTCTTCAGTTTGTCTTCATCCTTGTAGGAAGGCAGGAGGAGGGTGTTGAAACATGTCATGGCTGTGGGAAGTCTGGGGGGGAAGGAGATACACAGATTAGTGTAAGCTCACCAGGCAACTTTAGAATGACATAAGCTGGTAAGAACTTGTACTACAGTTACAATCTTAAATATCTGTTGGAGATTGGTACTTGAACAAAGTATGTACAAGCTTGAAGTAAAGTTCTATTCTAAAACCTAGCAACATAGAGGAACTTTAGAGAATTGATTATATTTCTTCCCCCTTCTACTCATAGCAGGATTCCCTCTTCTTACAGCATCCAAAAGTATTTCTTGCAGAAGATCGTTTACCTTTCTGAATCTGGTCCATGTCTCTGGACAGTGATCCTTAGGGTGGCCAGGCCTTTCAGTGGGACCTACAGTACATGGATAAAGAAATTAAGTCTTCAACTACTAGTAGTACATCTACATGTAACACATGTGGGTTCCTTGTAGGCTGAGAGCCTGTGTGTACACTTGAATTTACGTATTCACAGTCAGTGTGGCAACTACACATTTCAGAGACTGGCAAATTAACATATTCTACACATTCCTCTTGGATTTAAAAAATGCCTCTAAAAAATCTACATGATAACCTACTTATTTTGATTACTAAATAAAATGTATTGTCAAAAAGTGATCAAGTCTTACCCTGTCACTCCCAGTGATGAACATAAGCAGCATCTTCTTGTGTTTGTGTGACAGTGACCGCACCACTGACCACAAGGCTTGGATAGTCTTATGTTCCCTGTGGTCAAAATAATTCCCCCATTAGTGTGGTAGATAAGCAAATGACAAGAGGGTTGAAAAAGATGCTGCAACTTTTGAGTGAAAAACATAAAACATTACTAAAAGAGGAAAGGGATTTTGAAAATATTTAATTCTTACTTTGAGTAGCCATCCTCATAGACTGCAGATGCTTCCAGTCCATCAAAATCCTGCAAGAAAAAAAAAAGAAATTAGAAAGCTTTGTAGCAAACTTAAATCCTTTGCAAGACTGGTGTGTTTCAATGGATATCAAAGGGGATTGAATCTTTCTCTAGGAATGGTCCTTTTAATGGCCTATTGTACATATTGGCATATCAACCAGTGTTCTAAACACATGTATGCCTATCAGTTGTCGTACCAGTTCAGTACTGCCACAGATGAGCAGCTCAATCTCCTCTGCTCTGAACAGTGTCAGCACTCTGCCTCCACACACCATGTGGAACCCTCGGGAGAAGGCCTGAAGAACAACAACACCAAGATGTACAAGTAATCAATGTACACAAACATTGTCACAACACTTAGGGCAATCTGCCCAAAGTTTCCCTGTTTTGAGAATGAATTTTGCATATGGGTACAGGGTAGTTGAACACCTATGGAAGCACCAATGAATACAAAGCAAAATATATGTACCAACCTCAAACTGCCTCTCCACACTGTCCACAAGCAGGAAGTTGACATACCTGCGCACAAATTCTCCTCGGTTCTATAGTTGAAAAGGAAGAACACAAGGATAGACATAGCTGCAAGGCACAGTAGAATAGTAAAATAAACCTTAACACCAAGACTTACATGTACATTTGTACTCTACAATACAAATTCAAACATGTCTTTTCTAAATTAATACTGTATAACATACGCACCTTGTTGTTGACAGGCATCTCAGATCCATTCTCTATCAGATCAACTGTCTTCAAGTGGCCAAATGACTCGTATGAAACCTGTTAGGAACAATAACAATGATACAGTATATAAACACCTATCATCAAGAATCAATAAGCATGTCAAAGAATAATGGCACTAAAATACAAATTGTCCAAACCTAGTGATGGACAGGTGTGGTTGTCTCCGCATCCCTCGTTGTCAGGCAGACAGAATACTTCAGGTGATTGAGCCTGTCCACCCCCGTGTAGACTCTAGTTGGTATCGCCCAAAGTTGAAGGGTCACCCTCCCTGCGCATGCGCACCAGTCTAAAGTTTTTCAGCTCCACCTGGCCGAAGCCCTCTCGGGATGGGTCGTGCCGGAACTCGTGGAGAACTGCACCAGTCAGGGAGGGTGTCTGCCTGACAACGAGGGATGCGGAGACAACTACACCTGTCCATCACTAGGTTTGGACAATTTGTATTTGTCTACCGCATTCCCTCTTATGTCAGGCAGACAGAATACTTCAGGTGAGATTTGTAGCTGCTGAGGCCAGGACGTTTCTTCCGAATGAAGCTGACCCCACCGGTCTGTTGTAGAATTTCTTAAAAGTAGAAGCTGTAGACCAATTAGCTGCTGCTAGAATGTCCTTGGTTGATACGCCTTGTCGTGCCGCAGCAGAAACAGACGCCCCTCTAGTTGAGTGTCCGGTGAACCTTGAGGTGTCAATCCCGGCCTCTTGTAACACAGTTTTTAGCCATCTAGCGATGGTAGACGTAGATACCGCCTGGTGTGGCTCCACAAGAGCCCTAAACAGAATACTGTCGCACAAACGAAAACTTCTAGTTCTTGATACATACGCTTTCAGGTATGTTACCGGGCAGATTCTTCTGTCCTGCGGGAAGCTTGGAATCACAATGTCGTGTGTGACTTTGCCCGGCCGTGAAGTCTTGGAGAGACTGTTAACAGTAAAACAAACTCCGTCGGAGATTCTTTTCTTGAATCTCAGATCCAGCAACGAAAGAGACTGCTCTCTTCCCGCAGAAGTAAGAGCAAACAACATAATAAGTTTTAAGGTTAACAAACGAAGTGATAAAGAACTTGCTGGAGACCAACTCCTTAGCAACTTTAAAACTTTACCGACGCTCCAGGTAAAGCTATACTTGGGTAGTGCTGGACGTAGTTCAAACACTCCTTTCATGAAACGCCTCACCAACGGATGTGATCCTAGAGGCTGCCCTTCCAAGGGAAGATGTGTGGTAGATATAGCTGATCTGTACACATTGATAGTTCTGTATTGGAAACCCTTGTCGTACAAGGATAACAGAAAGTCTAGCACCTTATTCAGAGGTGCAGAAACGGGATGGATGTGCCGTTGATCACACCAGCCACTCCACTTGTCCCAGGCCGAAGCATACAGCTTCTGTGTTCCTGCTCTCCATGACGCCAAGAGGATTTTGCTAACCTCTGGCGAAATGCCATACATGTCGTGCTGACTCCGCAGACATGCCAAGCGGCTAGTTGCATTTTTGTGCCCTCTGGGTGAGGCATCCCTGACTCTGGCTGTGTCAGGAGACTGTTGTGGCGAGGTAGTAACACTGGTTCTTCTACCAGCATCTCCAGCAGGACTGGGTACCAGACTGCTGTGTCCCAGATCGGAGCTACGAGAAGCAGGTGAGCTCTGTCTTCTCGCGCTTTCCTTAGAGTTGGTGCGACTAGCATGAACGGGGGAAAAGCGTATGGCAGATCCCACCTGTTCCAGTTCATTGTGAACGCATCTGTCCCGATTGCCTCTGGCTCTGGATGCCAAGACACATACTGAGGTAGCTGGTAGTTTGTTCGGGACGCGAACAGATCCACCCCCTTCATGAGTCGTGGAAATGTCGCTTGCAAGCCCAGGAACGTGTAACGATCCAGGGTCCATTCCGTGGCCAGAGAAAAATGCCGGGAATTGTAATCCGCTCGGACATTCTCCTTTCCTGGTACATGTTCTGCTGTAATGTACAAGTCTCTGTTCACGCACCACTCCCATAGATCGAGAGCTATGTCCAGCAATCTCTGAGATCTCGTCCCTCCGAGACGATTCAGATATGCGACTACCGTCACATTGTCCGTGAGGACCTTCACATGCTTGCTGACTAGCTCCTTGCAGAACGCTCGAACCGTCAGTGACGCTGCACGCAGTTCTAGGATGTTTATGTGTGCCTGTCCTTCCTCGACAGACCACCGGCCTCCTGTATGTACGCCGTTGCTGTACCCACCCCAGCCGGCAGTAGAGGCATCCGTCTCCACCACAATGTCTGCTGCGGGTGAGAGGATTGGACGACTGTTGTGTCTGGGTAGGTGATCTGTCCACCATCTTAAGTCTGCTCTTGCTGATTCTGTCAGTGGTACGAGCTGTTCCCAGTGACCTCTTGTCACACGCAGAACTGTGATGAGCAGACGCTGCAAACTTCTGAAGTGCAGCGGCGCCAGCCATACGGACGTGGTTGTGGCTTGTAGCCTGCCAATCACGCTTGCTAACTCTCTTGCCGACATCCCTCTGTCTGCAGTCAGTACGTCTTGTGCTAACTGCTGTAGCTCTAGAACTTTGCTCTCGGGGAGAAAGTAACCATCTGTGTTGTGTCGATGCCGGAACCGAGGAAGGTTATGCGTTGTGATGGCTCTAGAACAGACTTCTCGAGGTTGGGGACGAATCCCAGCCTTGACAGGAGCTCTATGGCTGCCCAAAGAGCTTCTCGGCATGCTTCTCTGGAGCGGCCGATCACCAAGATGTCGTCCAAGTACACCACTAGACGAAACTCCCGTCTTCGCAGGATAGCCACAGGAACTTTCAACACTTCGTGAAGACCCTCGGGGCGGTCGCCACGCCGAAGGGCAGGCACTGGAACTGGTAAAACCGGCCCTGCCACTGAAAGGTGAGGAACCGGCGACTGTCCGCATCTACCGGGATGGTAAAGTATGCGTCCTTGAGATCCAACTTTGCCATAAAATCTCCTGGTCGAACCAGGTTCTTGATAACTCCCAGAGTTTCCATCTTGAATTTCTGAACATTTAAGAACTTGTTTAATGGTTTCAGGTTGATAACAGGACGAAGACCTCCTGTCTTTTTTGGCACTGTAAACAAAGTTGAAACAAACTGATTGTGCTGATACTGAACTTCCTTTATTGCCCCTTTGGCAAGTAGAGTCTCTACCTCTCCGCTCAGAACTTCTATCTGAGCTGGACTTCTTGCTCGACAAGATGGCAGATGTCGTTGCACCGGAGGCGTTCTCGCAAATCCCAACCTGTACCCCCTGACGCACTGAAGAACCCAAGGATCGGAAGTCAACTGCCTCCACTCCTGCATGAAGTGGGCTAGCCTGCCTCCGTGAAGTAGCTGAGTAGTGTTGGGTACATGTTGAAATTCGGTCAAACGCCGGCGTGCTTCTCCCTCTGAAGCCGTGTCTGTTACTTGGACTGCTTCTGCTTCCCGTCCCCCGACTTAGACTGAAAGGACTGGTTGCGGTTGTAGAACTGTCGGGTTTGTGAACCCCTGTAACTGTACTGGCCATAATTGGCCCGTGGCATGTAGCGGGAGTTTCTGTAGCTGTAGCTGAACCCTCCGCCAGTTGCTCTGCCGCCGCCGCGACGAGCACCACGCCTCGGCACTGAAGACTTCCCCTGGTCGTCCTGGCTGAGCATGCCAACCAGCACTTTCGTCTCTGACGACAAGTCCTTAGCCTTTGACCCCATGTCAGGCGGGAACAGGAACTTTGGGTCTTCAGATGCTGCCTTGAAAAGGTCTCTAAACTTCTTCTGGGATGACTCTGCTACGAACGTGCGTCGGGTGAACGCCAACTGAGAATGTAGCGACCCCAGCAACACAAGTGCTGAACCAGCACAGTCACTCATCTCTAGCTGCAACTCTTCAAAGTTCTCACTATTACAACGCTGAATCATCTGCCACAGATTCATCAAAGGTGTACCAATATGCACCAAGTTCGAATGTATGTTCTTTAGAGCCTTATCATGAGAAATGATCTGCTCACCCTGCTTCTTGTCATTGTCGACGACAGCCCTGGCTATGTTGTCGTTGAAACTCGGTGCAACCATCGTGGATGGAGCGTTGTCGGGCATGCTGAACTTCTGCTGCCACGCCTCTAAGTCTGTACCCCGGCGCTGCTGGTCATGCTTGAAGTACTTTTCTACTTCAGAAAAGACAACATCGTCGGCTACCCATGAGTGCATGGTGTCCTTGTTCGTCGGGTCGAACGGCTTCCACACCGAGTCGCTAGCGCCAGAGTCGCCGCCGACGCTCTCTCCTTCCGCCCCGTCGTGAGACGGGGAGCGCTGCTTGCCACTGCGGGCGCTAGCGCTATCTTCCTTCCGGCGCTTCTCAGGAACTGCCGTCTCTGGACGAGCGCTGCGTCGTTTCCTCGGTGAAGATTGCTCAAATTGAGCTAACATCAGCTCCTGGAACGCCTCTAGCCTCTGAGACATGGACGCAAAACTCTGCTCCAAGGCAGAGATGCGGACGTTTGTTGGCGAAAACTCCGTTTCGCTATCATGCGTCTTCTTGCTTCCGTCGCCGCCACCACTGCTTATGTCTCCGTCAGACGGCAAGTTGCCGTCTTGCTGCACCGTGGGCGGCTGCTTCTGCTCGCCGTCGCCTTCCTGCTGGCTTCCGTCAGCGCTGAGAACCGGCATAGCCGGAGAAGACGACTTCTGACGACTGTCATGGCGGTCGTTTTCACGCACATGGTGCGCCGACCCGCCCGGGCTTGTCCCGCCTTCCTCGCGCTCCCTGCCGCTGGAACGCCGCCGGGAACCGCCACGTTCGCGCTTGGAACTCTCCTCGGTCGCCCTAGGACCCGAAGGCGCCCTCGAACGATGTCTATCGCGTTGCTTTTCACGCCTAGACCCCATGATACCAACGCAAAACACGAAGGTGTTTACAGGTTGCTCAAAAAAATTAGACTGGTGCGCATGCGCAGGGAGGGTGACCCTTCAACTTTGGGCGATACCAACTAGAGTCTACACGGGGGTGGACAGGCTCAATCACCTGAAGTATTCTGTCTGCCTGACATAAGAGGGAATGCGGTAGACAATATGCATTTTACATGTATAAACATGTAGGACCCTCTGTGGTGGACCTAAACCAGACAATCACGTTGCCACCAAATCCTATCTGACCTGGAAAGTGTAGCACAAGTCCATCTCCACATCCCCCTCATACTCCATCAGTTCCTGTAGCCCACTGGCCAGGGTCGGCTGGATGTCCTGCAGGTCAGCCAACTCCAGGGTCTCCCCTTGGAGTTTCTTGTACACAGTCATGGGGAAATGCACATCCAGGATCACGCCATTGTAGATGGCTAACCCCAGGATGATACCCACCAGCTCGAACTCTCCATCTGATTCCGGTGACTCCCCTTTAAGAAAAACATGTTGAGTTTAAAATCTCAGTCTAAAGCTTCAGAGAGTTCTGTATCTACGTATTTCTGAGATGATAAATTAGCCCTTTGGTATAACACACCAGCTTTGTGGTAAACAAAAGTGGTTGCAATTATGTGACATCTACATGTAATAGCAAGGTGCAGCACCAAACACCACAAAACTCAATGGTAAGTGACCCCAGACAATATCTCACTGCATCATTCTTTCACTTGGGCTCATCAGTATGAAAGAAGAGGATGACAGTGTGAGAAAAGAACAGTTTTTGAAGACATCAATAATTATTATTACATGTGCTTTCTAAACCCTGAGACTTGAGAGACAGTCACAGATGATGCTCACCATTGATCCACAGACTCCTGCTCTCCTCCAGGTACACAAACATGCCATAGTTGGGGTCAAACACAGACTCTGTGATCATCTGGAAAAACTCCTTCTGCAGACCTCCCATGTCCAGGCCCTGTTAGGACAATAAATGGTGATGAACCACTTATCATAAAAGATACTATAACAGGACTTTCCCTGGTACATCTTTATGTTATGACATTACAGTCTTTCCTTCTTATCATGAACAATACTATGTACTTGTTTATGAAAAGAAGGAAAGACTATTAATATATATTTACCGGTACATAAAGGTTCAATGTACAATGTACCAGGGAAAGTCCTGTAGCTTCTATGAACAAGTACATGTATGATGAACAGTGGAACACAACTGGACATCTACATGTATAGGGTGAAAGACCCATGGGGGTCTACCTAGCCTACTTTAACCCAGTCAATGTATTTTAGATTAATTTTCTGTATATAACGTTATTGTCTCTGTTACATGTAGGTGTATTCATGTCTATGGGCTCTGCCTGACTTAAACAATTATAGAATAAATAAAATAAAATAAATTAGTTACTGACCTGCTCCCCACCACCGATGTACTTGATCTTGAGCGGTTTCTTGAGCTGGTCCTTCTTGAGCTGCACCTCGGCAAGGGTGTCCTGGATCAGCTGGTCCCTGCGGATCTCCAGCACCAGGAAGGGACAGGTGGCCGCCTGGACGCCATCCTCCAGGGACGCTTCTCTGAGGGATAGGGGGGATTTCTATTAAAAATGTGAAGGTAAAGGTAGTCCCATAGCCTGACTGAGGCCGTAGGGGCAGTGGGCTGTTAATCCAGCATGTCTAGGGCACAGTATTTGGAAGATGGAGTCAGTAACAATGTTGAAACAAAGTTTCAGTAACAAAGCTGTCTCAGTTAAGTTTGTCTCCAGTGTGCCAAATATGGCAGGACAGAGGAATACGTCAAACATCACAGACAGCAGCATGATATACATTGTACTATACTGATTTCTAGTTTAGAATTTTTCAGATGATCCAACAAAAAGTACTCACTTGTTCAGCTGGTTGAGGTATCTCTGAGCTTGATTCACCCTCTGAAATGAATTTTAAAAATGTTTAATGTTGTCCTGTATACATAAAAAAGGTGGATAATAATGAAAAAGAGAAATTTTAATAATATATACATACTGAATAATATACATACTGCCTGGTGTAGGATGGCATTCTGATACTCTTTCCTCATCTGTACCACAGCATCAAAGTGTAGGATTCGGACCTTCAACTGAAACAACATTTCAGAACATTTTAAATAAAAACCTAACACGTATCTTATCAGTAAGTATCTATTATTACAAAAAATTGTAAAAATGAAGAAGGATTAGGAAATTGGTTCATGATGTTACTATTTCACAAAAGAAAGGGGCTGTTTTTTGTCTTGTGTATGTGCCACAGACATGAGACCTACCGATGGGTCTAACAGGTAAGGAAAGTCCAACATGGAGTTCTGATCAGAAGCTGTCCAGTTCCCGTACTCATGCTTGTAGTCCATTTTCCTACAAATCAATAAACAAGGCGTAATTATTTTCATCATACAAAAAAGGATCACAACAAGGATACAAGTCGTCATTCACCCAACAGAAAGAATTAAAAGACACAAAGTGGAATTATCCAACTGATGCAAGTAAAAGCTGTGAGTGTCACCTGGCCAGTACTGGGCAGTAGAAGTCAGACAGAGGAAGGATGGCCTTCCCCCTGGAGCTGTGAGCACGGCTGTTGGCGAGGTGAAACACCGACAACGTCCTGGCAACATCCAACATCTGGTCCCTAGCCCTGGAGTAACCAACAGTCAAATTATGAAGCTATAATCCCCACATTCAAATTGTTTCTGGAGTATGTCGGAACGTTTTTGCGTTAAAAAACACACAGCTGACTGAAGAATCAGTTATAACTGGGTAAAATGTCTGATGTTTAAAAACCCACCCCTTGTCTGGATGTAGAGACTGCACCAGATGAGCCTGGAACAGCTGTAGGAAGGTTCTGAAGTTGGCCTTGTCGTACTTCATGAGTGCCCGGGCCAGCTGTGAGCGGGACGTGTGGGGGAGGGAGGCCACTACCTGGCACAGCTTGTGCAGCAAGGCTGGCCTGGTCTCCATGAGGGGGTTTTCCATCAGAATGATCAGCTGGAAACAGATGTGTGAACCTATAGAACTGCCAGTGTACAATCGTCCTTCGTCCTTTAGTCATAAATTTTGGTTGAAGTAATTTCATAACATTTTATTTTGATGCTGCCTCAGTTAGTTTTGTCTCCAGCGTGCCAAGTATGGCAGGACAGATGATTACGTCAAACATCACAGACAGCAGTATTAACTGAGTACTGACTTCTATGATTGTAAAAAAACTTGACAACAAATTAAATCCTTAACTTGTCAACACCTACACATACCTGAGCAATATCATTGGGTTGTACATTTGTGCCTCGTAATGAAGATAGAAGGATCTCTACTGCATTGGCCATGGCAGTCTTGAAGGTTTCCTAAAAGAGAACAACACATGTTTCTCCTTTTTTAAGAACACTATTTCATGTACAAGTGTAGTTCTCATTACATACCAATTGTGAATGTCAAGCAACTTAAAACCTTTACAAACAACTTCTAAGTTTCACCGCCGAACTGTAAGCATCAAATGTGAGGTACAATGTACTGAGAAAGTCTAACCTGTGGTTGCAGGTTGCATAGCAGGTAGTAGGCTTTCCTGAGGGACTCCAGGTCAATGTTCACACCCCGGTCAGACTCATTGTGCTACAAATAAAAATAAACAAAGAGTTGTGCTCTTGCTTTACCAAGATGAAGTAAAGTCAAACAGCCACATTGAAAGATGTTGTTACATAAGAATGCTGTCTCAGTTAAGTTTGTCTCCAGTGTGCCAAAGATGGCCGGACAGATGATTACGTCAAACATCATAGACAGCAGCCGTAACAAAGTGCAGACTTTATCATTCATAGACATGAAAAATTCTGTAATACATGTACCTTTGACAAAGGGGAAAGTCACATGTTTTAATTTTAGCCGAACTAAGTTTACTTGAAACTTTTACTAGTACTAATACTAGAATATTTGACCAGAATGAAAGCACTTTGCTCACCTTGAAGCTATCATTGAGAGCCTGAGATGAGGTGAAGACAGTTCTGATGGTGTTGAGGAGGAAGGATGGATCACCTAGCTCCCTGTACTTATCCACTGTGTCCTGAGAAGATATAGCGTTAAGTACATGTAAGGCCACACCAATTTAATTTGTTGGTTCTCGGATTTTTTCAGAAAAAATATGAAGCGACAGGGCGAAAAAAATAAAAAATAAAAACAGGTCTAGGCATCCTATTATAGGCTTAAATGCTACGAAATGAGCCATGAAGTCAACACAAAAGGCTGGGTTAAAATTTAAACATTGAATTTTGAACTTTTAATCAAACCACTGCAATGATAGATGGGAAAACTGTAACAACTAGGAAGAAAAGGACTATCCTCAACTGTTGGGGGCAAAACATGAGCATTTTTCAGTTGATTCAGAACCAGAATCATATTTTTTTTTTTTTTGCAAATCAGAAAAAAACGAAGAGGCGAATCCGAGAACCAACAAATTAAATTGGTGTGGCCTAAGAGAGGAAAATGTAAAACTTTGCTGGGATATTTTAACACCATCATGGGTTCATACAGCAAAGTTGAAGGTGAAAATCATCATTGAGATTAGTCATCTCTCAGTGCCATATGCGTAATAAGTCACAAGATGATGCTGAGGTCTTGACACAACCATAAGCCCATCTTCAGACTTAAACTAATGAAGAAAAATGTCAAACATGTGTGAGATAATCGCACAGACAGTCGGCACTCTCTGACTGGCTGTCGGCACGTCCCACCTGTACCTTGTTCTATGTGGACACAATATCAGTTGGTAAAGGCTTCAAACCAACTCTGTTTTAATGCCCACAATATGATATGTACATTACAGTACACAGTATTGATAGTATACCATCAAAAAAGAAGCAAACATTATTCATAACATCTGAGTTTCAGAAATGAGTCTTTACTACTATTACATCCCTGTAACAAATTAGGAGTTGTTTTCTTCAGCAAAGAAAGAGAGTTATTGTATCACTGGTTACATTTGGGTCAGCAAAAAATACTGGCCAAAAGTCTGAACTTCTCAAATACTTCATTTCACAAAATGTAGTATACAACAAAACTAGAAGAAGCTATAACAAGACTTTAAAGATCTAAAAACAGCCATGACTGATTGACAGTAGTGGGTGATGCTGATGAAAACTTTGGTAAAACTATCAAAAACACACATTTTTTAACTAAGTCAAGTGTTGTTTCCCACCTGAAGCATGGGCAGTGTGAGGTGTGTGAGTGAGAACTCCCTGATGTCATCTGATGACATCTCCAGCATACACTCCCTCTCAAACTCCTCCAGCTCAGGGGACTGGTCACTAAGGCACTCTGCTGAGGACAGCAGGCGGGATGGGCTGGTGGTCAGACTGGACAGCGAGTTCAGACCCTCCTCCTGAGGGACACTCTGGCCAAACGTCAGGCTGCCTGGTCTGCTGCCATTACTAAAGGGGAGGGCGGAAATATTAGGATTATTGGCTGTAAATTAAAGTGTAATACACAATGTTGTTTATGAATAATATGATGTTAAGCAGACATTTGTAATGTATGCAAGGAGTATTATGAAATTGTCAGTCAAGCTCCTAGGCATAATATTCCAAAAGCTGTAAAATAGTAACGAATATTGACAATGACAATATTGAAGTAATCTTTATCACTCATACAATGAGAGGTTGTTTTTTTTGCATGTCTGCTGTCTCAGTTAAGTTTGTCTCCAGTTTACCAAATATGGCAGGACAGATGATTACGTCAAACATCATAGACAGCAGCCATAACAAAGTGCAAACTTTAGATTTCCAATAAATTACATTTGTAATTTCATTTTCTAATGAGTGTAAAACCTTTTGTAGTTAAAACTTAAGCACAAGACTGGGACACTGTTTCAAACCTACCTGTGAATGGACAGTGCTCTGGGTGAACCACCCAGAATATTCTCCATACTCCCACTCAGCTCTCGGCTGCTTCCTGTCAGTCCATTCTTTTCCAGAGTAAGCTTGTTCAACACACAGTCAGTGCTGGCCCTCCGGCCACTCCACCCATCATAGGTCGTAAAGGAACCCCTCCTTAAAACCTCTTGTCTGAGATTCGAATGCACCGGTCTCGAATCTGCCACTGAGTTCAGTGAGGTAGCAGCTTTTAACATGAGGTTGGAATGCGATGCTATGTTCAGTGTTTTAGAGCTGGAGGACAGCAGCCTTGGTTTGGAAGGCTTGGTTGGTGGACTTGTCTCTTCTGGCGCCTCTTTGAAGAGTCCACAGAAAGGACTGCATGAAAACATGGTGTGCAGGAATGGCTTTGGTCTCCCTTTTTCTACCTGAAAAATCTGTAAGCAAAAAGTGTGTTGGAAGTATTAGATTCTTTCCATATCAAATTGCATAACCCATAAGTTCAGATTAAAAATATAACCATAATTACAGACAAGGATATTCTTATTCCATTAATCATAAAAATCAACAGTAGAATACATACATCTGATGGTAGTGGTCTGTCCAGAAACTTCTTCAGAGCACACAGATATGGCCTGTAGGGTAAAAACAACTTGTAAGATTTTGTTCCTAGGCCTGGGTGCCATCTGTTTTGCAAAACAAATGAAACTGGTGTCTTAGTGTAAATATAAAACAGAGAACACAAAAAGTAACAGAATTACCTTTGTCTTGTGGCAAGCTCTATGCTGATTATTGCTAACATGTCTTTGGGTACAACAATGTGCCCTGGAGGAACAAAGTACATGTATTAAATGTAAAAATGAAATAAATTTTAATTTTTTATTCATGTACAGTAGTTATAACAAACAAAATTTTTCATTACAAATGTAGCTATACAGATCATGGTATATAAAAAGAACAATGATAAAACAACAGCAAAACAATAGGTATGGGATATTTATCGTACAGTAAACTGTAATAAATTTACAAGATTTTAATATTATCTTGTATCAATGTACATGTATGTACTATTTACCTGGGCAAGAGTGGCAAAACTTGTTCCTGCATTTCTTGTTCCCACAACCTTCTGTAAGCTGGTAGAAATACCTCTTCACCAACTGTTCAAAATAAAGCTACAACAAAAACAGAGGAACATTAAAATTAGAAGCTCTGAGTTGAACATTGATTAATCACATGGTAATAACTCATCTGTGACCTGTATTGTGAACCATTGTTTGCTTGGAAATGTCACTTTGTAAATAAACCCTACAATACAATATGCAACGTACAACAGCACTTTGATTTATTATCTCATGCCTAATAACATGGACAAAAGCTTGTTGCCTAGCTACTACTACGTGTCTTTGTGCAGATAAAACTACTGTACATGTAGTACAGATGACTGAGAGTTACAATATTAATATGCTAGTAGTTTGGTGCTTACTTTAGTAGCTGCCTCTGCGGTGTGGGGTGTCTCGTAACTCCTGAGAGGGGCGGCCTCTTGTACAGACAGGTTACTGTCTGACACCGCTGCCAAGTTACTGGAGCTTAGTGTTCTGTGGAATAAGGTAGCAAGATGTACATCATTATAAATTATTTGTCTAACTTATGATGCTGACAAAAAATGTTCAAAACATTTTTCAGGCATCAGTGATCACTGATAAAACATGCATTATCTTGAACTTGTTAGTGTACTCTAAAGTTACATTGTAGGAGGACAAGAAAGGTACTGGTGATACTTACTGTGAGTCATATGGAAAAATACAGGGTTTTCTTGCAAAGAAGGAGAAGTGTTGCAGTAAATTATACAAGAATAGTTTTATTTTCCACACTATCAAGAATGTCTAACATGTCTCCTGTACTATCTCAGTCAAATTGTTTCCCCACAATGCCATGTGGCAGGTAGGATGATTACGTCAACCATCATGGACAGACAGAGGAGTTTGTAATCACTTTCAGGAAGACCCTCACCCTACTTTCAACTATCACTAGTACTACTATTAGATCATTTTTCTGCACAGACTGTTATGCTGCATCTGATAAGTCTTAAAGAGAAGTTCCTGATCACATTTAACTTGCGGAACTGTACTTACTTGGTCTTAAGATTTGACAGCTGTACCAGGCTACTGGACTTCTCTCTGCTGAAGACAAAAAGGTCAAATTAATGTTAATGATGCAAGTACATGTAGCATGGTACACTGAACTGTAGTCTTTTACAAAGTTACCTGTAACAGTTACATGTAGAATACTGGCTTAAATGCTCAGGTGCAGATCTATTCTAAACAAAGATCCCAAGCTATCAGCAGCATCCACATCTTCAAAAGGTTTTGTTGGTGCCAGTGTTAAGTTGTCTCAGCTGTTTGTGTCCTCATATTTCCCACAAAATGGAAAATGAGATGATTACGTCAACCATCATTGACAACAACAAATTTCATTCAAGGTTAGCTAATGTTATCATAAAAACCTATATCATATAGCATCATGTACAGCTATGGGTGTAGCTCGCAAGTTGTAGAGTCTGTTTATTACCTGTCCAGGTTAAGTCTGGCCAGAGAACCTCCTCCCAAGTTCTTTTGTAGTCTGGGCTGGCTGATGGGCCTGGGTGGGAAAGAAAGAACAATAATGTTACATGTACAAACCTCAAAACACCATACAACTGCATACAGCTGAGGAAGGCTTCTTCACCTGTACTGTAGTGAGCGGGTCTAGTCGCCTGCAACAGTCAACTTGCTCTCAGTGGTTGTCCAAATAGATCTAGAACAGGTTTATTAGCTTCTACAATAATTTTCCAAATTTTACTGTATTTACAGTCTAAATATGCACAGCTTCCAAACAGGACAATAACCTGCATACATGCAAATTGATATATCATAATCTAGTTGAACAAATTATCTCAACTGTACAAAACATGTACCTTGGTAGTTTGGCCCTTGCCAGCTCACTGGTAGGCAGAGAACCTCTCTTCTCATACTGTCTCCTGGCTGTGGGGAGGGGAGGTTTCCCCGGCACGGCAAAATGGGCTTCATCTACAAGGGAATATACTTGGATATGGAACAAACTGGTTGTGTGAAACTTCTCATACGAATATAATTTATTAACGGGCCCGTTACCTTTGGCTTTGCAAAGGACGTAACATATGTATAGTCCTGGCTTTGGAAAATGAACATTTAAACACCTTACAGACTGTACTAATATTTACGGTCAAAGGATATTTGTAAAAGTTGGAGCTACGGATACTACTATAATTTACTACTAGTATCTAGTGCCCCCCTCCCACAGGTCATTTTGGCAAAACGTGCATGGACCACATGGAAGCAAATGAATTTGCGCTGCGGGCATGCCATACCTCGCCCGATGTCCTTTTTCTGGACGTCCATCAGGGACACTGTTCCTCAGGACTCCCCTACAACTGGCTAGGTTACGGTGGAGGATGTATGGAAGCAAATTAACGACCACATCTTCGTCTCTTGCCGCCTCTCTTTGTGGGCGCCAGTTTCATATCAGTTTTAACGCTATGCACCGCAACAACACGAACTGTGTCATAAGTTGTTTCATAGCATGACACTTTCAATAATCAAACCTTACAGACATATTTGTAAAATACACGTTTTATAAATACCTGTGTTCATTTTTGGTCATCTTAATGTTAGCCATGTGTAGATACTATGCTTATTTTCTGGTGAATTTTGTTTAGATGTACTTGGCTGCGGTCAATGATTCAAAGGGAGGTCGGGGGTCATACAGGTGGCAGCGGAAAGTTTTTGTTTCACAGGTGCAAGTTTTGAGAAGTTCGGCCTTCCGTAACGCTTAAACAGTCAATTGTACTGCACATTTTCTAAGTTGTTTGTCTTAAATAGTCGTTTTATAAGGAGTCTGAGGATTAGAGAACAACAGAACGATGGATCCAGAGGCCGACGGTATCCCGCTAGGTCAGGCGGCTCAAAGGTCTCTTGCCGTGTTTCCAGCCGGATCCAACGGAGAATTCAACCTGCCAAAAGGTATAATTATAAACCTTACATCGCCGCAACCTCATCGCATTTTCCTCCGTGATGCGAGTTTACATTTACAGTTCTTGAATTTTTTCACAAACAGGCGTTATGCAAACTGACAATAAGCTAAAAGTTCCATTGTAGCGCCCTCAATAAAAGTACTAGTATGTAAGCCATGGTAAGTCTTTATTAGATGTAACGTTACACCAATCCTTTTCTAGCCTTTTTTAAATCTCATATAACTTATTTAGAGCTGACCACAGTCCTGTCCAGAGGAAAAGACTGTTATGTGTGGGATGTGGACGGCAAGCGATATCTTGACTTCTCAATGGGGTGAGTAAATAAAAGATACATTCAATCATTTTGACGGCGGCTTCAAACTTTTGCCTTCGTCCGCAATACACGATTATGTTAATACTGTGACAATCACCATTGCTTTAAAGTTCAAATAACGCTAAGGATAATTGCGTTTATTTGAAGGCAGATTTCAAAAGTTTACAGGGAGTATGATCCAATCATTTTTTTAATTACCTTCATGTGTTGTATATCTTATCTTGTCCGAAGATGGGGGACGAACCTTGTGGGGCACGCCCGGGAAGAAGTGGTCGCCGCCGTAACGGAGCAGGCCGCAAACGGCTCCAACTTCGCTTACGTCAACGAGAAATCTCTCCAGCTAGCTGAGGAGATCAAACGGCTGAGTCCTGCAGTGGACTATCTCAGGTGAAAATGGAATGAACTCTTAAGTAAACTGAAAAGTTTAAATCTCAAAATGTACATACTCCGCATTCACAGCATGTCGTTGTTTGTTCAAATAAAGGAATTACACATAAATCTGATCGTCATTATTTCCTGTTTTGTGACTGATATGTTATAACAGTCACATGATTCATTCATTCAATATTCGTCGTTCATTAGATTTTGTTCGTCCGGAACTGAAGCCACTATGTACTGTGAGAGACTCGCTAGGGCATTCACTGGCAGGAGTAAAGTTCTCAAGTTCGAAGGTGATGCTAACTTTCCTGTTTCTTTTGTCTCGTGCAATGAATAAAACACCTTGCAGTTTCTGAAGTCAGGTTCCTAAAGTTCAAGAAATAGACCAAATTTGTCACCGAGACGTTGGTAACTTCATATGCAAGTAACATGTTTAAATCTCAACGTCATCAGGAGCATACCATGGTGCAAACGAAACAGGGGTGACCAGTCTGTTTCCCAAGGGGCTGCTGGACTACCCAAACCCGGACCCCTCCAGCGCGGGAATAGAACATTCCGTGAAGGACCACGTCCTTGTGGCACCGTACAACGACCTCAGCATGACGACAGAGATTGTGGAACAGCACAAGGACGACTTAGCCGCCGTGATAGTTGAGCCTTTGCACCGATGTACCCCTCCTATGGTATATTGTTGTTCTTTACTAATGTCTAAAAGTGTTTTTTTTTTCCTCTCTCCATAAGCTTGTTGAAAAAACTTAAGCCTAAATTTTAAATAAATGCAAACGTACGCATGTCTATGAAAAACGCCATTCTCATTGTGTCGTGTAATGTCATGACCAAAAAGCAAACGTTTACAACCAGACGTCATCTATTCAATGCAATTTCGATTCTTCCCGTGTCCTGTCTTTTGTTTTGGCAGGACGGGTTTTTGCAGGGCTTACGCGATCTTACTAAGAAACACGGGGTTCTGTTGATTTTCGACGAGGTGGTGACAGGCTTTCGACTGGCGTATGGCGGCGCTCAGGTAATATATTGTACCAAAACAGCGAATATGTACGTAACATACCGAATAATTCGACTCATAAGTTCCGTTTTACGTTGAACAAAAATCCTGATTGTAGTCCGATGATCAGTGATTTGATACCATTTGAGATTATGCGTTCTTCTAACTAATGTAATACATCGATTTCTTCAGTTTACACAATTACATAGCTATTTTCTATTGCTGAAGGAATACTATGGCGTGATCCCGGACCTGGTTGCCTACGGTAAGGCTCTAGGTGGAGGCTATCCCATCGGTGTGTTTGGGGGTCGCGCAGATATTATGAGGTCAGTATATGATACAGTTGTACGATACGTTTTTAAACGTTTTAAAATATTTATCTTTAATAAACTGTTAAAAAATCTTATTGCTTTCGTCCCTCCCTCCATTTTTTATTCTTTATTGCTTTATACCAAATGTACATTGTACTCAATGCACAATTCAAGTAAATAAATAAAAGCAAACGCCATTGTAGATGTTTTCGTTTAGACTTATGGGTAGTTGATTATGAATTTGTTTTGTATTCTTTCCAGTATTGTGAACGAGGACCTACTGGGAAAAGACAGGCGTTACGTGTGGACGGCGTCTTCCCTGGGCTGTAACACCATCAGCGCGTCGGCCGCCCTGGCAGCGCTACAGATCTACCGCAGGACGGGCACGTACAAGCAACTGCATGAGTACGACATCATTTACTACATGTAGTAACTTGTAAAACGATAAAGATATGAATTATATGTAAATATTGTGCGGTTGGGAATGCATCTATAGCAGTGACACTTGTGCTGCAGTGCAATGTGAACCAGTCAGAATTGAGGAAGGTGACAGACGGTCACGGAAACGTCGGCTGTGAATAAAAAACACTTGGTTGTGTAAAAAGAGTCTCTTTACTCAGTAGCTTACCAACCTGATGAAACTATTCACGGATAAAGATATGAAGTTTTATCTCTCATATTCTCCTAAAAGTGTCGACATTCAGGGATATTATCTATATATTGATCAAAAGAATTCCGTTTTTTTTTTACATCGGCAGTATTGGCAGGTACGTGAGGAGCAAGATGAAGGAATGTTTGGATAAAAATGACATCCCCGGTCATGTGATCGGAGACGGGCCTCTGGCACAGGTTTGTTTGTTTGCTTTTCATTGCGCATGAAAAAGAATGAAAGAAAGATTTTTTTAACATATTGAAAACCTCTGACCAAATTTGCGTGATCTTTGATGCAAGTTTGCTAAAGAAAAAACACTATCAAGTTTCTCTGACTTTAGTTTCATGTCCTTTTCTCCAAGGTTCTGTTTACGGAAAAGCTGGTGTACAACTACCGCGAGCAAAAACTTCAGGAGAACGCCGCTAGGCGGCGGGCCATGATGGTGGGACTCTTCAAACGCAGCGTCTTCCTCGAGCTCAACCCCATGGGAACCAAACTGTACCTGTCGCTCAAACACACGGAGGACGTGTGCGACCAGTTCGTGGAAATCTTCGATCAGACTCTGCAAGAAATCAAGGAGAATGAGAAAAGCGCAACAACAAACTAGAAGTGCCAAGAACTCGAACGTTCCGAAGCCAAAGAATGCAAAATGATTTTACAAGGACATATACCTAGTAACCTACATTAAATTTGATAAAGGACTCATTTCATTCTTTATCATTATTTAGGTACAAACTGTTTTAATAAACTTTATGATATATTGTTTTGCCTGCCATTTTGCCAATCTTAGGTATTTTAGGTGACAGTTTTGTATAATTGTACGTCCTCGCCTTTTCTTCTTAACCTTTTTTTCGCCTTTTTTTCTTCTTTATAAACACCAGTCAAAGGACAACATATCAGAAGCCATTAAAATGGCTGTAATTGTGTACTTTTATCACATGGGTACAATGTCCAGGACGCCACCAGAGACCGGGGACCACATGACGATCAGGTGATGATGTAATACACTCTCTCAGCGTCATGTGACCTCAGCAAATCCAACATGGCGGCCGCCGTGCACCTGTGGCACCGACACGACCCAAAAACTTCGATGTTTTGGACCATATCTTCGCTTTTCTTCGTCTTCCAACTTGTCAGTCGGACCCAAGGAGACTGCGTAGCCGGGAACTATAATCTAGAGCCGATTCAGGGGTAAGTAGAGCTCGAACGAGGTCTGTTTTTGCGGAAGAACGTGGCGAAATTTTGGCTGCGCCAACTTCCCCAGGGCATGAGATCTGCTTCCAAAATCAGCTGACTGTGTTTACATTGTCCAAATCACGGCATGGGAATTCAGCAAGATGTATACAACAGTCTCTAAACGAGTTTTGTACAGTAGCACGGCATGTATGATTCCCAAGTTGGTCTTTTATTGAGATCGTAGCTAGTGGGATATTTTGCTGAATGTGGGTGGATGGGGAAAAGGGGGAGGGGGTCTAGTCTGCCATGTGAATAATGAAGTTCAGTTGTTTTGCTAGTCGCCATTTAGTGTTACTGCTTCGCTGAAGTGTTTCGCCCTCTGCCACCACGCGAGTTTGCAGGTCTGCAAGTCATGTCATAGAAAGCAGAACAATGGGGCAAGCTTTTGTGTAGATTGCAGGCTCACTTCCTCTTGCTATTAAGATGTGTTAGATCGAATGGGAGGTTTAAAAACCTCCATGGTTAGATCATGGGGTTAGAAGGTTGGATGTTTCAGGTTCCCAGTTATGGTAGATGTTTCAGGTTCCCACTTAAAAACCATCACAAATGTAGCATCAATCCCTGTTTGAAGAGGACCACCCCATATTAATATTAGTTTCAAGGCTGCCTTACCCGTAAAAGATTCAACATTATGTAGTATGATATCAGGATGAGTCACTAAGCAGCTATGTGTGCTGTCTAGCATACATGAACATTCATGGGATTTTCAGTGGTGTAGTCATTGTTTTTATTATATCACTATTATCAGTCTTGTTACTGCTTGCAGTACTCTATAAATTATATTTTTTTTAGTCAATTTGCAGCTTTGGTATTTAGTATACAAAGAATGGCCGGTATTATAGCCTGAGAACACCGATTTTTATGGCTTTATGTATGTTCACCAAGAACAATACAGCATTGGTTGTTAATTTCAAGATAGCACAGTCGTCCAATACTAATCAAATCAAAACGTTACCAAGTCATTTATCAGAGCAGTATCTATCAAATTTTTATGACCACATAATGCTCCAGTATTGAAGTTGATTAATAGAGACATGCATTTTTACCACTGTATACTTACAATTATTATGATAAATAATTATCATGGTATCAATACTAGTACTGATATCAAACAGTAATGGATGTATTGTTTTTTATCTGACTAGATACTAAGTACCTTATCTTACTGTTTTTACCATTTATCTCTGTATGTGTCTCTCTGTTTTTAATGTTATGTAAGAATATGGGCCTTGGTGTCTGAAATAAAGAATTAAAAAAACAGTAGAATGCTGACTGTATTAATCTTTCATTGTGTTCACCGTTAAGGCTATGGGAGGCAAGAGGAGACAACAATGTGCAATATAACATCAGTATCTGCAGCCAGCTGACCCTCCCTGCCCCATGTAACGGGAACTCTGTGTGCAGACTCCAGTCAAACGTCACGTCCAACATAGGAAACTTCAACTCCAGCCTACAGATAGATGAGGACAGGCATGGAGGGGGCTTCAGGATGGAGCTGTACTCTGATGATGATTGTCCTGGGCACCCCGGGCACAAGATTGGAACCAGTATCAACATCCAGTGTGGTAGGACTTTGGTAGGTGTCAATAGTCAATATTTTTGTTCAGAAAATATCCCATAGTTTGAGGTAAAGGCTTGTGCTCTACCCATTAGCAAAATGCATATTTTATAATTATAGTCCTCTACTAGTAATGTATGAACTAAAAAAAAAGAAATGTCAAATATTGGCATCTATTTTCAAAGTATTTTGAAGTGTCCTAAAGATGATTTTGCTAGTTATATGCATGTGCATTGTTGCAAATACATGTATATCCTTCTCCCTGATGTCTAACTAACTCTATAACCAATTGTTTGCCAAACAGGTACTTCACTGTGCTAAAGGATACAGAATTTAAGTGTTTAACTTTGATTCTTGGTAATATACAGAGTTCTAAGCGCCTTTTCCTTTCTGTAGTTAATTGTTGTGAAACTCTGTACCTTCCCCAGGGCTTCCCTGAGTTTGTAGAGGCCAAACCCTGCACCACGTACTTTGACTGGGACAGTACAGTAGCCTGTACGTCTGTCCAGCGTCCGGCACAGAAGGAGGTGAAATGTTACGTGTACGGCGTGGACGGGAAGAAGAGGGACCTGACACCACTGATCAGACAGAACGGTGGTTACCTGGTGGACTCAGCCGGGGAGAGGGACTTCTACATCAACGTGTGTCGCGACATCACTCCTGGTCAGTGAAGGAGAAGAACTTTAATGCATGACAGTTGTTCATGGTCCAATGTATGGCAACGACTATTGAACATAGTACAAAAAGAAAAGGGTATAGAATGATCAAGAGCTAATAGTACAGTATACAAGCAAGTAGGGCTAATCAAGAGTTTTTGCATTCCTCTAATAGCAAAACAGTCTTTTATGTGACATACAGGACAGATTTTCAACAACTTCCCATCTACATGCATGTAGATCTCAATCAAAAGTTGTGCAAAATGAGATTAATTAAAGTAATGCTTTTTTCCATTATAATGCGTTTAAAAGCTGCGCACTTTTCGTTTAAATTGCATTGAATGTTTTTCGTGTAATCGCACATGGCTATGCATTATCAATAACCACATGCATGCAGTTTAAACAGCTTTTGCACGTGTTTTAACAGCATGTTACACAGCTTTCTAAGAAAAAGGAGGTTGTAGTTACATAGGTTGATTTACCTGTACCAATAATTTGCCTACTAATAATTCCTACAATGATTGCTTGTATATGTGGTACTTAAACTCATTATGAGGTTATATCTAATGATAACCATAGGATGTACATGTAAGGTATACTTTTTCTATCTGTCTCCAGAAACAGGAGCTCCCACCTCCTCCTGCCCCCCTGGTACAGCAGGCTGTCGTGTGATTGGTGGAGAAGCTGTGGACATGGGTCGTCCCACTACGGACCTACAGATGGGGGAGGAGGGCCGGCTGTTCCTGCACTATAACGGCACAGACGGGGACGCCCCGGCAGGGTGTAACGGGGTCAAACCAACTGTGCACATCACGTTTGTCTGTCCAAATGGTGATGGAAGGGGTGGGGTGAGTATCTCATGTTTTCTATAGTTGTTTATATACCAATGTATATACATTATGAGGTTTAGAAGTTAGAAGGATTAATTAGTACAGTCTTACTTGTGAGATATACCAGAATCTATCTGTAGAAATTTCATCCCGAAAGCCAATATGCTGCTTTAGAGGAGGTTTCCGTTTAGCAAGTGCCATCCTTCCGAAAATAGTTTCATCAGGTTGGTAAAGTATAGGATACTAGATCATGGCAAGAAGCAGAACTCCAGTCAGAAGCTCTGAGGAAGGTGTCTGATAGACACCGAAACGTAAGCACGTAGGTGAGAAAATTGTGTAAAAGAAAACTTCAGTATCCGAGTGCCATCCTGTTTGGTCCTTTTAAACTTATGTTACATGTATATATTCCTGTACTGTAGTGTCACCTATGGAACTATAATGGAAAGATCGATAGAGGATCTAAAACAGTGAATATTGTTTGTCTGTATCTGTCAGAGTAAGGACCCACTCCTGACTCTGGACACAGACTGTCAGTACCAGGTGGAGTGGTGGACGGAGTACGCCTGTCCTGCCGAGTACCTTACAACAACAACCTGCAGCTTCAGTAAACAACAACACGACATTGACATTGACCTGTCACCACTACGTGTACAAGAAGGTAAAGTCATACAGTAATTGATACTAAGTAAGTTAGAATGGATTTAGAGTGAGTGACCTGGTAGAGTGATAAAATGTTAGCGTTGTTTGTGATGAAGTATCTTTTAGGTACCAAATAAATGTATGTATATAATTGGATGTATTGGAGGGAGAAGGTTTAGGAAACAGGAAACATCATTTGACAGCATGCATGGATGAAAATTGACAGGGAAACTGGATCCAAAAATTGTCTTACAAATTCTCTTACAATAGCAAAACTTACAAAATATGTTAATAATGACACTAACAATAGATTGGTCTCCCTAGAGTTTTGGAAAGCTGACTAGATGACATTAGCTGTATATAGTGTCTTCCATTTTATCGAGGTTATTTTAGTCTTTGAAAACAAAAATGTGCCTTTTAGTTTTACTCCACCCAGGAACAAACCCCTGGCCTTACAAGGTGACTACCACTGGAGAGGATGGGAAGACATAGGACTATTGGCTGAATTAGCTAGTTTATCTAGTTTATTTTACAGTCTTAGAAGACAAAAATGTGCATTTCACTCCACCTAGGAACAAACCCCTGGCCGTACAAGGTGACTACCACTGGAGATGATGGGAAGACATACGACTACTGGCTGAATGTGTGCGGGGCTGTAGGCATACAGTGTGGGGACAATGATCCAGATGGAAGTCACACGAGCGTGTGTCAGACTTCAGCTGATTCTGCTCATATCGCAGGAGCAACAGGACATACTCTCAGGTTTGTGTAGTTTTTACATTTTCCATGTATTATCTAAGATTTGCATGAAAAATTGATATGACATTTATGTTTCTTTTGAATAGTGACAGATAGTGTATGCTAAACATAATAACAAATATCTTTAGGTCAATGCTAACATAGTGTTGAGTATCACACACACACACATCTTGATTCCTGGGAAAGACTCAAAGTTTAGAAGGTAGAAAATACAGATATTTTATTAGAAATGCTCTACACTCCTCTCTTTTCAGTGAATTGTAAAAATTAGTCTTTTGGCTGATACATATATCTCTTCCTTTAATGTATATAAAGACATTTGTTGTTGTCATTTCAGGTACAGTGACGGAGAGCTGACCCTGACATACAAACATGGTGAAGTCTGTAGACACAACGGCTTCAACAGAACCTCAGTCATCACATTCAGGTGTAACAAAACTGCAGGTCAGACCACAAGCCAACTTCCACAATACTTCTTGGTTGTAGATTGTTGTGCTGTAGCAATTCCATCTCCTTCTCTCTTTTACAAAAATATGTCAGCAAAAAAATGGTAAAAAGAAAGATTGAAATTACTTCTTACATTTATTATACAAGTATGCTTCTTACATTTATTATACGAGTATGAGCCATGATCGGTCTTTTGTTTGGTATCTCATGTCATACGCGATTTGAATTGAGCACAGAAAGAGTATGATTCTAGTCTAAGATCATTTTGTGAAATCAGGCTGTTTTAAGCCTATATTTCAAAGCATTAGAAATACCCTTAGTTCTATGTCTAACCTTGCACATTATACAGCTTTTCAAACTGTGATTAATTATCTAACCCCTCCTTTCACCATAGATAACAATGGCAGAGGCAGACCAGTGTTCAACGGTGAAGAGGACTGTTCCTACTTCTTTGACTGGGATACCAGCTACGCCTGCCTGCAGCACGAGGAGGGGCGCTCGTGTCGCGTGAGCTCGCCCGACGGGAAGAAACGTTACGACCTGTCCACGCTGGTGCAGGAGGGCCCGCTGAACTGGGAGGCACTGGACGGGAGACACGAGCACGAGGGCGGGGACAACGACGAGCGGTTCTTCATGAACGTGTGCGGGGAGGTCATCACGCTGGAACAGGCTGCTGACTGTCCACAGGGGGCTGCTGCTTGTGCTATCAGTAAGCGTGGTTCTCTTACATTTGTATAATAACTAAAACTTGAAAGTAGCTCAAAGTTCAAAGGGTATGAGAGTTGAACACACTCTTAGTACCAGTGGCCCTACTGCTGTGGCCTGTACGGCGGTAGGGCCACTGCTAGGGCTAATGGGGTGATAGAAACAGAGATCATGAGAGATGGGAGTGTTCCAACATTGACCCCATCCACTTTTTTAAATTTTCAACACTATGAATTCGACATAGATTCTTTACAATACAACTCCCGTATCTGAGCTTCATTCATGTACTTGCAGAAGCTAGCAGAACTGTCTTTTGTTTTGTCATCATGTACAGGTGATACAGGTGGTGGTACCACAAATATAGGAAGGTACCAGACAGACCCTGTACTGGAGGGGAACCACATCAAACTGACCTACACAGACGGGGACTCCTGTCACAACAGTTTAACCTGGTCAACTGTCATCAGGCTGGTCTGCAGTCCTGGTGGGTCTTACACATGGTTTACAGGACATTTAAAGACTGTCCCCTTTTGGTACTGTCAAAACTGTTCAAGAAGACCACTCAGGACCAGTGAAATCTGGGTCACTGTAGACAGGCTTCTAAATGCTTGCGTCAATTAGAAAATTGTCTAAGGGACCCCCAAAAAGTGGTCACATTGGCTGGTGGTCCTTTTGTAGAGGTGTTCACTTGTACAGGTGTGACTGTACACATAGTTAAAGTATTGTCTATAGTATAAGAGATAGGACACTGGCCTAGACATTTTCCAGATTTTAAAGGCAGTCCTTGTGGTAAACGTCTACATTTCAAGGCTTGTTTATGGTTTTTAATAAGTTAAACTAACCTTAATCTGAAAAAAGTATACTAACAGCAAGACAACCTTGATATAGTAGAGACAGATTTAAATGTACAATCTGTACAATGCTGTTCTTTGTGACTGTCCCACCCAGGTGACCTTGAAAGTGCCCCTGTGCTGTTGCGAAGGTCAGATGAGAAGTGTCTGTACGAGTTTGAGTGGCACACGGCTGCAGCCTGCCCACTGGGTCGCAAAAGTGGCTACGACTGTAGGGTCTTCGACGATGATGCAGGTACAAATTCTGTCCTCTCTTAATGTTTTCATACATGTACTTGGACTTGGACCAATGATGAATATTTATTACTTTTGACTCACAGTATGATGTCATAAGTAGACCAATTTGAAGTACTGAGGTCCATCCTGGCAGCAATAGTTTTGCCATATTACATCATCTGATTGAGCGCAAAGACCTTAAGGTATATTCTTATTGAATGTATTACAAGATGAGATAAAACACAATTTAAAAGATGAGTGATGCTGAAGAAGTAGATTTTTAGTTATGATAACAGTTTAACTGTTGTCATAATGTTATATACCAACACAGATGAACTTTCATGCTTAGATTTTTAGTTTTTGTAGCGTAATGATTGATGTCAAATACTTTCAGTGAACGCGAATAAAGACTTTTAACATGATGACATATATCACAAATTGCGCAGGTTTCTCCTTCGATCTGACTCCACTGTCCAGAGCTGGTACCACAGCAGACAGTTTCTACAATGTGACAAACGGAAAATATGACTACCTGATAAATGTTTGCGGTGACATCAACGGGACAAAGAGCTGTGAAGACAGAAACCCCAAGGCTGGAGCCTGCCAGGTCGACAGAGGGTACGACAAAATTTGACTATGATTCAGTAATAAAATAGGATGTAAATTTAATGCAGTCTTAAGGAAAAGTCCATTGTCTAAATGTATAAGATAAAACAGAATTATAGTGTACAGTTACAACTAGAAGGAAACAGAAATGCAGTGTTTTGATCAGAGATGAAATAAAATTAACATACCAACAGATTGATCATGGCATCATTGACATGAATTAAGATGTCATATAGGACCAATGATGAATTTTGTTACTTTTGACTTCCAAAATGATGTCATAAGTAGACCAATTTGAAGTACTGAGGTACATCCCAGCTGCAATAGTTAAAAGAAATATTGAGTCTTGTTATAATCATACATGTACCATCTGACCGACAATCATACTAGGAAGATTCCAAACCGATATCAGTGTACTTAATAATTAATAAAGGGTAACCATTGTTGTTGAATTCAGAGTTTGAGGGACAAGTTATGAATGGGTGAAGTATGATGTCACAGGAAAAACAAAGAAAAAAACTTTTATCTTTTTCTTTCCAGCAACAACAATGCCAAAAGCCTTGGTATATTCAACTCTCATCTGAACTACTACGATGGACTGATAAACCTGACATACTCTGGAGGGGACCTGTACCACGACAAAGTCAACAGGTCCACTCACATCGCCTTCCTGTGCGACCCTAAAGCCGGCCCCGGTCAGCCACAGTTTCTGGCAGAAGACAACCACTTCTACTACTTCAAGTGGTACACCAAGTACGCCTGTCCTGAACAGCCGATAGAATGTGTGGTGACAGACCCAAATACACACACACAGTATGATCTCTCAAGGTAGGTGCACACACATTACAATTTATTATAATACCCTAATTTCTAATGGCTTTCTAACCTTTATCTTTCAAGTTTCAACTGTAGGTTACTAGGGTTTTGAAAAATTGTAAAATGTATGGGCCCAGATAAAAATCCAATTCAGTTACAGTGCAAAGGACTGGTAAATACTAATATGCTGAGACAAGCTGGTTAGTTACGCCGAATGGCAGTTATACCGGCTATACTGATACATATACAGAGACAAAACAATGATAAACAACATGCTACTAAGAATGTAAGTCTATTTTTCATGTTAGCACTCATTTTTCTATGATAGTGTCATAACAAAAGCTAACAAATCTGGTGTCATTTTTTTTTCCAGCCTGGCTAAGTCAGAAGACGACAACGGTGAGAACTGGTCGTATCTGGATGACTCGGACCCAAACAACAAGAAGAAGTATTACATCAACGTGTGCCGCCCCATCAACCCTGTCTCCGGCTGTGACACCTACGCTGCCGTGTGCCAGACAAGCTTTGCTAATGGAGAGGTGATTTTTCTGAATTTGACTTAAATGTTAAAATTTCTCCCTACTTGTAAGCCTTGCATTTGTGTTTATGCTGTATCCTAGTCACAGTGTAAATGATAGACTAGACTAATGACTGAGCTAGACTGTAACACATGCACAAACATGACTACCATTTGCATCAGAAACATTTAATTTGTAAATTATTTGAGATTATTCTGACTGTGAGGATTCTGTTCCATAATGTTTGTATTATGATGTGTATACTTGAATTTTTAACACTAACTGCTGCTTTGTGATCAATGGCGCATTTCAGGTACATTTATTAGTGTACCTGCTATGTCATTGGAAATAGAAATATGAATCTGAATCTGTATCTGACTTACCTCTTAAAACAGGCTTGCAGGGCCTGGAACTTATCTCTGTGATGAAGGACAGAACGTTCTGGAGATCTAACTTTGTATGCTCCACCTCTTCGGAGGATGATTGATGATGATGATGATGATGACTGAAAATGTCTTGTTGTCTTTGCCAACCCAGGAGGCGGTGACCCTTCCCAACATGGGTATGGCTGAGTCCCGGCCCACTATCGAGGGCCAGGCGGGTCATCTCCTGCTGACCTACAGTAACGGTGGGCCGTGTACAGGGCCAGACGGCGTGGCCAGGACTTACACCACCAAGATCCACCTCATCTGTCAGAGGGGCAGTCTGGTAGGTCATGTGTGGAAACTCACTCTTCTGCACTTCTAGGGAATGCCAGACTGGATAATGAGCATCCAAAATTAATCTAAAATGATCAGTACTTAGATTATTTTATGATGTCTTTTTCACGGTAAGTTACTGAAATGTAAGTTATTTAAGTTCCTTTTTTGCTTGTATGTTTTAGACATTGCAGCAATTTCCTTGTAACAGGTTTACAACTTTTGTAAACAGCAATGCTAATGTTTTGTGTTTTTGTGTTCTGTCGACTTGAAGATGATTGGCCATACTAGTTGAGATATAGATAGTATTACAGATCTAGACTTCTACCTAAATCCATACACCAAAAATTTGTCTAATAGATGTACATGTAGTAGTAGTAGTAGTAGTAGTAAGCCTTTATTTAAACTCGAAAGCTTGTTCGGTACAGCTCTAATAATCTTACATGATGAAGAGGTTACAAAAATTGTGTTCAATGCTGATGTACTGTATGTGTCTGTGTCCAGTCGAGCAGCCCCCGGTTCCTGGAGCAGATGGGGTGTGAATTTGTGTTCACCTGGGAGACAGAGGCGGCCTGCGGGATAAAGGTGGAGACACAGGAGGACTGTACCATCCCTGATCCCAACTCTGGCTACATCTTCAACCTCCAGCCTCTCACCAGAGGAGACAGGACACAGAAGAAATACTACGATGTCACCAGTAGTGATGGGCAGGCTTTTAGGGTAGGGGGTGTTCTTAAAATCTTGTCTTGGAATACCAGTAGGTAATTGTGCATGGCAGAAAAATTTTTTCTAGGGCTGGCAGGACCTTTTTCGAACAAGAACAACAACCTTGTTGAAGATAGGTTTACGATGTTAAAGCATGAAAGATCCTTTTGCGTCTTTTCTTTCCTGGCGTGTTTTATCTTGGAAGAGCTACATTGTAAACTTAAGAAAAGGTATTACTAACCAAAAGTAAAGAATTGTGCTTCTGTTAGTGGACAAAGTTTAGCCTACTATTTTTTTATTTTATTTTATTATTCTTTTATCTAATTTTAGACTTACTATCAGGTATCATACAACAAGTTTTATACCAAGGTTTTATACCTAAATCTTTTTCCCAGTTGAACATCTGTGGAAGTGTGAAGGATGATGGCTGTCCCCAGTATTGTGACGGAGATGGGCACTGTGAAGACGCGAGTGTGTGCTCCGTCTCCTCGGGTAAGAACAAGGCACTCGCACACGCCCGCGATGCCCAGCTGGAGTTCTCAGACGCAGGACAGCTGACTCTCCGGTACTACGGAGTCCGGGATGAGGGGTCAGGTATGTGGAGATCTTCCTTATTGTTGTTGACATGCAGAGGTGAAGACTAGTCATGAAGTGTGATGTGTCCAGTCTAAAAGGGTAGTCTAGTCCTACAGACTTTTTTGAGGCCATAGGGGCAGTGGATTTGCATGGTATTAGAAGGTGAAGCCCATCCCAATCCCTCCACTGCCTTTTACAATGTACCTCGCCAACTGAAGTCATTTTACACCTGGGTAGAGTGAAGAACATCATATTAAATGCCTTCCTTCAGGGCAACAATGTAAGTTCTGATTGGAGTTAGATCATGCTGTGGCAAAATTAAAAATTTAATGCAGTCCCAAGATACATACTAGAACTAGTCATTGTTGTCCTGAAACAGGGTGACAGGCAGTTGTTTGAAAAACCCCTTGTTGTTTGAATAAAGACAGGTAGTTTGCAATTTGTCTACTTTCTGTTAAGGCAACCACCTGTATCTTGTTGAAGATTCTGTTTGTTATACCAATTGTCTTCTTTCCTGCAGGACAAGTGACGAGTGTGATGATCCACTTCGTGTGCCGTACACAAGTGGCGCTGGGAGAGCCCAAGTTCCTGCGACAGGAGGGTCTGGCCTTCCTGTTTGAGTTTGCCACGTCCCTGGCCTGCCCCCCTGCTCCTGTGGACTGTCTGGTCACAGACACGGCTGGCAATCTGTATGATCTCACTCCGCTGTCTCGAACGGTTAGTTTTGTCTTTGTGTGCTTTTTGTCTTAATCTGTGATCAGAGAATTTGACATTTGAAAGACCATATCTCTCAAAGATAGACGGTAGATGTTGGAAACTTTGTGATATTTTACTATTGTTATATCTAAGTCTAGATGTACATGACATAAGAAACATATTTTTAAGTTATTGTTAGTGCCACTTCTATATTCTAGTATATAGAATAATAATTCAATCAATCAATCTTTGATGTTTTTCCAGGACCGTAATTGGGAACCCCTGAACCCAGAGTCCACTCCAGGACACAAAGACGAGCGTTACCACATCAACGTGTGTCGGCCTCTGGTCGTTACTGACAACATGGACTACAGCTGCCCAGGTACATACAGTCATGTGCTCTACATGTACATCACAGCAGCACACATTTCTGCCAAGGACATTAATTTTGTTTAATTCGTAAAAGAAGGAGACAAACTTGATTGAGAAGACGAAATTTTTTTTTCTTTCAGTTATTAGTAACCTACCTCTTTACAGCATTATAGTAGTCATGAATTGTAAAATCATGCATTCTGTTCAGTGCTAGATCAGTGGCTCTGCATGTAGCATCCACAATAATTACAGTGTATTATGATCCTCTTCCCTCAAGCATTTTAAAGTCTACTTGGTGTATAAGCTTGGTGTGCTTAGGAATAACTTAGGCTCAGTAAAATGTGACCTTGGCCTTCCCCCTCCCCAGGTGGTCCCCTGGGGTCCTGTATGACCGGCCCCCTGGGGAATAAGAACCTGGGGGTGGTGCAGTCCAACCCCCAGGCTGCAGGAAACTCCCTGTCCATCAGGTACTACAATGGGGACATGTGCCGAGACAACGTACACTACAGCACTGTCATTGTGTTTGAGTGCTCACTAACTCAGGTAGGTTCTCATGGTCTATAGTTACTGTAACAGCATGGTCATTGTGTTCGAGTGCTCACTCACTCAGGTAGGTTCTCATGGCCCATAGTTACCATATATCAAGTCAAGTTAGATGAACATTTAGTGAACACAAGTCTTGTTCAGTTGGTGAGATCTTTTGCTGACAGATGAATTTATTTATCACTAACTTTCTTTATCACCTAAAGATGTCAGATCTGTATTTGGTATGTATGTGTACATGAAATGTAGAAGGTAGAATGTCAGAATACAAATCTCCATGAACATTGTATGATTTATTGCCATCATTTTTATGGCCGGAATTTTGTATATTACAGAGAGTATGTCTGTAGTAATTATAACTCTTATGCTTATCTTTAACATATTTTTGTTGACGTATGCGCCCTAGAAGACTTTTTAGGGGTACCATACATTTCAGCCAGCAATGAATTATCTTACTCTTCACTAGAAGGCTACAATGTAATCTTGAGCATGGTTTGATGACTGTTGTTCATTGTCCTCTCTTCAGGGCACCCCAACGTTTCAGACCACGACACAGGACGGGTGTGAGTACGCCTTCCTGTGGCGTACCCCGAGTGCCTGTCCAATCAGGAGGGCTGTCGGGAACAACTGCCGTGTGAGGGATCCGCTGTATGGATTTGAATTTGACCTCTCCCCACTGTACAACTACACACATGATTACAGGTAGGGAAGTCCAATGTCAATATAGAACGTCCTAAGATTTTAGCAAACTTAGTATTGCATTAATATTTATTTAGTAACCATGGGTCCTTTTCCTTCAAAACAAATTCATCCTAGTAGTCTGATATATATCCAAAGCAATGGCAAATTTTTAAACTTTATATTTGCTGTGATAGCTTTGGATGCAAAATGATGTTACTAGAAAATAGCTCCTTCCAAATTTCCTCATTGCGCACTACTGTCATACCTGTATACCTTACCACTCACAAAACGTACTTCCAGTTTTGACTACGACATTAGGTCTGGCACAAACATTATAAGACTTGAATTGAATTAAAAGTTTAGAAGGGGTGGCATTCAAAAGACTTTCAGCTGTCTCCTTGTTTGTTTGTTTGTTTATTTATTTAACCAGGAAATACATGTCGCCTATTGGCAGTTTTCAAAGATTCCTGGGGGGATAACCCCAACAAAACTACATGACATTATTATTTTCACTTTAAATTTTCACACTGTCTAATTCATTGTGTATCATTCTGTCGACATTGTCCATCTTACAGAGTGAGAACCCAGCAGTATGAGTACAGTCTGAATGTGTGCGGACCGCTCCATGAGGGAACGGGGATGTGCGACGCTAAGGTACATAAAGATGTCAGCTCCTGTCAGAAGACCCTGCCTGGGGTTGAACCAGTGGTGGCCCATGTTACTGGTAAGAAGTTTATGCTTTATGTCAGAAAAAATGTCTTACTACTAAAAGTGAGCATCCATTATATATCAGTGAGCTCGAGGAAATACATGAGGACAAAAATTCATCTCCAATTTGTTATTTTGTATGCATGATACAAAATGTAAAATGTTAAAAGAGAACAGTTCAAATTATTTTTCTATGACTTACAATGTTTAAAGTCAGTCTAAGAAAAAGAATTTTTAAAAGTTTATGTTTGAAAAATCGGGCGTTGAACAGTTTGTTAAAAAGGTGTGAACACATAAAACTTGCTGGAACACTCTACAAGTGGAATTCGTACATTTGTAAGTGTAACTCTGAGCTATTATAATATTATAAGACACTTAAAATCTTCATTTAAGGAAAGGAGAAGGAAAGGTCTCCCATGCTCTTATGCAGAGCGTAGGGTGGTGCCCATATCCATTTCTGTAACCCTTGGGTGACACTTGGGTGACTGCTATGCACTACAGCAGGGGGCTGGTCCGCTGGTAGTGCTGTGTGTTTGACCTTCCCACACCCTTTCTCATAGATGCTGAGTGCTAAGCAGAGAAAGAAGTGTGTACCATTTTTAAAGTCTTTGGTATGACCCGGCCGGGGTTTGAACTCACGACCTCCCGGTTACAAAGCGAGCACTCTACCAATTGAGCTATTGCACCATTTAAGGACCATTTTGTATTTGGCAGGTACATTTAACAAGACAGTTGTGTATGAAGATGGGCAGATCTTGTTAAACTACACCGGTGGGGAGAAGTGCCACACTGTGTATAACCGGTCTACAGCCATCAACTTCTACTGCGACCACTGTGCTGACGGGAGGTGTAAGGACGGACCCAAACCTGGACCGGTAAGGACTCTTTATTCAGGATTTGAAACATGAGTGGAAAATTAGATTGAGATAGCATCAAATTCAAGTTGAATGTGTTACGCAATCAGTGGTAGAAATATTACTTCTTTTCAGTTTTCTGCAATATTGCAGAAAGTCAAAATTTTGTTCTGAAATTAGGAAATACTTTCTGCAAAAACACACTTAAAAGTCTGGATCTAAACCCATGGCATATACAAAATTGCATATTTTACATTGCACATGCAATTTGAAAGATACATGCAAAATTACTTGAATGTATATTATAGAGTCAGTAGTAAACACAAACACCATTAAACCCCTAGCCTGATTTATTCAGTCTGCAAAATTGCAGGTTCAACTTGCTTAATTTTTCTTCTGCAATATTGAAAATGTCTCTGCAAAATGCAGACTGCAGATGGGTATTTTTAACACTGACAACGTTTAACAGTGAGAATAACTGACATGCTAAGCTTCATCCATCCATAGATATTACATATTACATAAATTGACAGCAATAGTGAATGTTTGTACATTTACAGCAGTGTTCTCGCCAGGCCTTTTGAGCATAGGGGCCCTATGCTGTGATTTGGACCCCCTATGCTGTGATTTGGACCCCTATGCTGTCTTTCAACCAGCATAGGGTTCTTTTTTGGGGGAGAACCTTCACAAATCTTGCAAAAAATGAAAATATAACAGAATGAAACTATAGCAAAGGGAAAACCTTAACTTCACCAAATCTGGCCCTTGATTAGCGAGAAACAGTGTCTCAGGGGATTGTGAGTGCACCGTGAAAGTTGTCCTTTTGTACCTGACCCCTATGCTGTGAAAAAATCCTGGTGAGAACACGGTACAGGTTATTAAATGAAAATCATACCCCAAACCTAAAGACTGATAACCCTATTCACTAAGTATAAGTTTTCAAATGTTTCAACAGGCAAAATTCTGATGCAAAATTGAAACATCTATAGTAAGGGAAACAGTGAAAAATCTGGATTTTGCATAGTACAGTCTGTACCTTTTTTATATGCTGGACCACCAAGTATTTAATTACTGCTAGCCTAGTTGAAATTTAGAATCTGCACTGTGCCACCCAGATTTTAACTACCATTGCCATTACTATTAGTTACCTGACTTACCATTGAAGTAATTAAATGCATATTATGGACTATGGTACCTTAACTAAAGTGTTGGTAAAATCTTAAGAACACCTGAGTTTTCCCAGACGATGAAAACCCAAATGAAAGGGGCTAGCAGTGTCTCCAAACCTGAGTTGAGTGACGGGCAGGTCTGGCTTGTGGGTCAAGAATCCTTCATCTCCTCGCCAGGCCGTGTCATTATTGTCACAGTTACACTTGGTTTGTCCTTTGTCACAGGTGCCTGGGAACACATTTGAAAAAGCACAGTTAACATACATTTTGTACATCACTATAAGTGGCTTTTCTCTCTGAAACAGGTTTAAGAATTTGCCAACATGGAATATTGGATGTGTAATATATATATATATGTATATGTATATATGTATATATATGTATACCCATTTTTCCCCATTTTTGTGTTTAAATGCATGTGGTTGAAGTACATGTACATGTAGCTCTTACCTTCTACACCACATGCACACATGCCACTGCCAGGGGTAGCCCCTCCCCAGTAGTCTGCCTTCCTGCCATCCCAGGTCACCCACCAGGCGTAGTCAGTATTAGCATCGTTCATCAAAGACTGGAAGCACTCATACTGTATCAGGAGCAAAATTAATGTTTATCATCTTCAGAAAGGTAGACTTTGTGCATGTATAATACATAAACTCTCAGAGATGGTCTTGTTACAATGTACATTTTGTAGGATTGCAGTTAATCATTAAATGTCAAAGGAAATTCAAACTCTACTACAGAATGAATTACGGACTCGAGATAATTTCTGGACGTTTCGATTGACATCCACCACTCTTGTTCAGCATCGCTAATGATCTTAGAACTTGTCAACACCTAACGTTATATGTGAGCAACAGGAAAAAACAGTTGAATTTTTGAATTTCCGATGAGAGGTGGTCAAAAACTTTTTAAGTATCTTGGCTCACAGATGGAAAACTCTGAAACTGATTATGAAGTAGGCAGGAGCTCAAACTAAGTACTAAGTACTTTGTAAGTAAGTAATCTGTCAATGAGCTGTAATAATGCTACCTTGATAAACTGCCTGCACGACTCAGAGATGTAGATCAGAGCTCTGATCTGGTCCAAGGAAGCGTGGTAGGTGACATCACGCATGTAGGAACCAGGTGCACTATGACTCGTCACAGGGGTACGTGCCTCACTGTCATGGCTGATCACAGTCTCGCCTGATTGGGCAGAACAACATGGGGAGGGGGGCAAAAACCGAGGTCATCTTACAGGTATTCTGTTGATTCAGTGGTCATGTCTTTGTAAAAATACTTATTATGGGTTCACCACACCACGAAGTGGGTGTGGTGAAACCATATTGCTTTTTCTGGTGTTTCTTCTCCTTCTCCTTCTCCTTCTTCTCCTGCCATTTTTTTAAATGGATTCAGCTTCTTCATTTTAGGGCCTAAGGTCCTGAAATTTGGTATGGAGGTACAGTGGGCAAATACCCCCAGGCGTTTTATAAATTTTTGTGATACAGGCTTTTATAATGGTTTTATTTGAGTTTTTTGGCTGTGTTATAGCAAATGTATTACTGTGTTAGTGTACCACGTTTGGGCATGAGTCATCACAATGGAATGCAGGGCATCAACCAATAGGCATGCAGCTTTCCTCTATTCTTCTTGCTGATTGGCTGTTGGGATTTAACTTGATTAACACCTGCACAGAGCATTTCCATACTGACAGTATGTCTGTATTCAAGTGTTTTGGTAGGTATTTCAAGCTTTCCTGCTCCAGCATTGGAATGCGGGGCATGAACGTTTTTTTTTTTTAAATCAACAGTTTGCATTATGCAATTAAAAATCCTAACCAATAATGTTAGGAATAGCTATCCAACTGTTGTTTTAGTTGTATGTTACTTCATATTATAGTTATATCAATGTAAATCATTGTTTTCCCTTGTGTTTCTCATTCTTTCCCTGCCATGTCGTAAAATGTGGTGAACCCATCGCTGTATTTGCTCCAAAGCAAATATTGGCCTTTCTAGTTAGTATTAGGTTCTGATTCTTTTGGAACAGCAGTGCCTGATTGATGCGGATACAATAAAGATACAAAATGTATAATTTTATTTTTGAAGTATCAATTATATATAATTCTTTTTTTATCTTAAGTTGCAGATGTGAAGTCTTACTTAGTATCTAACTAGACTACTACATTGTAATTTGAAGGACAGTCACTATAATTCTTTACCTTAGGCCACACCAATTTAATTTGTTGTTTCTCGGATTTGCCCTGTCCATTTTTTTGCAAAAGAAAAAAGTTTTTGGTTCTAAATCAACTGCAAAATGCTCAACAAAAGACATATTTTGGCCCTAACGGTTGAAGAAAGTCCTTTTCTTCCTAGTTGTTTAAGTTTTTCAATGTAACAATGCAACTTCATTGTATCAAAAGTTTAAAATCTATTTTGATTATAAACCAGCCTGGTATGTTGACTTCATGGCTCATATCGTAACATTTCCGGCTATCATGGGGTGCCTTGGCCTGTTTTTTTTTTTTTTTTCACCCTGTCGCTTCATATTTTTTCTGAAAAAATCTAAGATACAATAAATTGAATTGGTGTGGCCTTATAGTAGTCAATTTTTGCTTTACATGTAATTACTAAGTCTTGTTTGTAATGACCTTTGCCAGGCACGTAGTCCATGTCACAGTAGACAGAGAATGGTTCCACCCCAGCCTCAGGCCCATCCGGGTCTATCATGTAATCCCCTGAGACCATACCTCGCTCATACAGGGTCGAACAGCTTCTGGGCATTTCACCTGAGAAGGAAGTTACATGTACATACAGTCATGTAGATCTGAATTAGATTGGCATGCTATTACATGTGCTGCACATACATGTACATGTGCATGTACAATTGTACATTCATCAATTTGTTACTGTAACAGTATATACATTGCACTGTAGTTGTCAAATGCATCACAGCACGAAGAAGTCATACACAATCATACACATGCATTTATGCACATACATAAATGCATATGCACATACATATACGCACACATAACATAACAGACATGCATAATTATTCATACATATACCTAGTAAATGAATTTATATGTGCACACACACACACACACACACACACACACAAACACACACACAAGTTACATTATTATTAGTAAATACAAATTATGCAAGATGTTAGATTATATTTCTTGCATTAAAAAAATATCACTTCAATCAAAGTTAAAGGAATTTGTTTTCCTTTTGAACATGTGTTTTGCAATAACAAAATTCAGCTCCAAAATTTCTGTAAACCATACATGTAGCTATAAGCTTTTTTTACAATGTAGGTGCTTAATATGTATTGTAATGATGTTTTGATACCTGGTGGCAAGGTTAAATTCTTGAAGTCACAGTACACATCTGATACATTTGAGGACACCACGTAGGAGCCGGACTGTCGACATCCCAGCTTCCACAGGTGATAGCAGGAAGGCACACCTGTACATACAGCAAAAATTGTTTTCAAATTGGTATACTAGTATTGCAACTGCAGTTACAGTACTGTAAGTTTACTGGTCCATAAATTTAAAGTACTTCTTCATGTATTGTAGTTGGCATTGGGTGAAAAAAAAAAGTATTAACAATGAGCTGGAATCATATTCGGTCAGTACATATTTTTTAAAATTTTTTTTTTATTAGTAGTTAGATAATGGCACTGTAACAGTTGCAAAAATTTAAGTTTTACACATAGAATGTTGAACTGACCTGGAAACTTGTGTCCTTCAGCGCACTTGTCCTCCAAACTCTTAGTCTCAAGTACTTGTACTTTTGTCAGTAGCCGTTGCACCTCTGTTTCCTGCTGTTGTGCTTTGGTCTCCAGTTGTTGTGCTTTGGTCTCCAGTTGTTGTACCTTGGTTTCCTGTTGTTGTGCGTTAGTCTGCAGTTGTTGTACCATGTCCCTGAGTTGACTCACTCCCTCCTGGTCAGAGCCAGAGCCACAGTTGTGGACACTGGAAGGTGGCAGCACGAATGTGTAGGCAGCCTGCCCACCCCTGCTGTAGTCACACCGAGCACTCACCTCTTGAGTAGACTGCCCACAGCTGACATGTGCTGCAGTACAGAAAACTGCAAGAGACACCAACAGATTCATGCTGTAACTCATAAAGACTTAGATTGCAATCAAGAGTCAGAAATCTGTTCAGAAATTAGGAAACTGCCCTAAATAGAACTGTAACAGTTACAGTACACTTTCTGAACAGTACTTGGCAGGTTTGTTCGTAACAAGGTGTGGCAGTTGTGACAGTGTTAAGTAAGGCAGCTTTAATCTGTAGAGTCAGTGGTTATACAGGTTTGGCACATGATGTAATGACAGAGCAGAGTCAAAGAGAAGGGGATTTTTGATGACATCATTTTGTCATGTGATCATCAAGGAAATGACCTTCTTTGTAAAATAAGTAGCTCTTAGTTTACTTCCTCAAAGTTAGAATACCCCCAAGGCTTCAACATAGCATACATGCTCAGACCTGTTCTGTGCTGTTTTGTACAGAGACCAATGATATGAAAGCTTTTAGGTATACCTAAAGGCATACTGTATGTACAAATGTAAGGACAATGCAAACCTGACTCATCAGTGAAACTGAAAGGAATAGGGAAATCCCAGTGACATCAACGTTTGTCATATGACCATCAAGTAATCCTATAATACCTAAAACTAGTTTACTCGGACCCTTACTATCCCCCTTAAATCATGCATGTTCAGACCTGTTCTGTGCTCTTTTGTGTGGAGACTAGTATGCAGACTGAGTTGACTCCTCAATGAGACTGGAAGGGGAGGGGGGGAATCCCAAGAGACAATCAACAAAATAATTTACATAGCACATTTATTGAAAACATTCATAATTTTCAAAAGAATTTAGGACTTAAAATTCCAGAAAACACCTACATGTATAGTATACAATCATAAGAGTTAATTTTTGCATACATTAAACTAATCAAAATAAGTCTTATATCTTTAAAGTTAGTCGTTTTCATCAATTGAATTGAGGTTGTTTATAACATTCAGTTTTCTGTAGTTTGACACTTATTATTTCATTTCCAGGTCTACGTCAATGAGACCTCAGACTGCACGTATGTGTTTGAGTGGGCGACATCGTACGCCTGTCCCCCCTTCAAGATCGTGGAGTGTGTTTACCACGACAAGGAGGGGAACCAGTTTGACCTGACCCCCCTGTCTCTGTCCCACGGGAACTGGGAGATCATCCCAACATCACGCAGCTCCAACAACGAGATCTTCTACATCAATGTGTGCAGATCAGTCGTGCATTCCAGAGGCAAGTCCTGTTCGTTCACAACTTGTTCAGTTACAGCTTGCGTCAGATTGCCTCTCTATATTTTCTCACGTCCTAAATGCTCTTACAGGGAGGCTATATCTTCACCAGACTCTGTTGCTTTATGAATTTTATGTTTGCTTTGTGGTTTGTTAGTTATCAAATGGATCCATGAATTTTCCTAAGTATTGTATTATATTTAATTTTAGCCGTTGTAGGATAGGAGGCAATCTTCATATCAGCTTCCTTTGATACATGTACATTGTATTTTTTGCTTCAAGACTTGTGTATATTCTGCTTCAAAAACTACAAGTAGGCATGAAATACGGGGGAAATAAATGTTGACCAAAACCTGTGCTCTCCAAGTGCCAAGTATTTCATCAATAGTTTGTTTTCTCACATCATTTTAGGTGTCCAGTGTCCCTATAACGCAGGTGCCTGTATGAAGTTACCGGAGGCTGGTGACGCCGGTGAAAAGTTCATGAACCTGGGAGAGGTGCAGAGTGGTCCGTGGTACGAGGACGGAAACCTGGTGCTCAACTACACACTGGGGGAAAACTGTACTGCTGACGGGTCCAGGAAAAAAATGACTGTCATCAAATTTGTGTGTGATGCAGATTCTGTGGTGAGTGGGAATGGATTGAATACAAGTACATGTACCCATAAGATGATTCCATCAAAAAAGATGACTCTATAATGATACATTTCTTCATCTGGGATCTTATTAAGGTCAGTGATTAACAACAAAACGAACTTTTAACGAGCTACATGTATCACCTCTTGGCAGTAGCAGTCCAAATGGACTGGTAAGAACTGAAAGGTTTTTTTACAGTCACAGTACTTTTTAAGCCTCTGTGATCAGGAGATAATAAAAATTGAAACTATACATTTGTAATTTCAGACTAAATGACCTGAGGATATGCTTTTGAAAAAAAAATGCTGTCCATTGATAAGACTACTTAGATATAAAGAAGCTTATGGTACATACTGTTTGTGTTTTCCATAGGGAAATGGACCCCAGTTCCTGGGCTCTACTGATGGCTGTATCTACACCTTCATCTGGTTCACTGATGTGGCCTGTCCTCTCAAGGCTGAACAACCCAGCGAAGGGAACTGCAAGGCTAAGAACCCCCTCACAGGTAAACGTTACTGTACAGTTATTCTTCTATTATATTGTAATACACAGGAAAACTGTAACACAGTACTCAAGCAGTTAGAAAGATTTTTTTAATTGTCAGACATTTCAAGTAGCATCCAGATCAACATTTTGTCAGTTACTGATAGAATCTGTAGTGTAAAGTGTATAGTTCCTACTATCTGTATCACTCTACCTTAAAATTTTGTTTATTTCTTCTTTTTAAAGTTACAGATTAATTTCATTTTAAAGCTGATTACTAGCATTTAGATCCATGCAAGATAGAACAATGTTATAGATCAGTGTTGAATATCTTTTACCTTGTCCTGCTAGGTTATGAGTTTGACTTGAATGGACTGAATAAGAAAGACTCCTACTACCAAGTCCTGGACCAGACAAAGGAGCATGCCTACCAGATTAACGTGTGTGGGGCTGTGAAGGGCTCCAAGTGTGACGGGGATGACTTAGGTATGCACTACGTACCAGTTTGGACTGAAATAATTTTTTTTTAAGTATATGTACAGTCACTAAGTCTAGCTCTTTGGTCCTCTTCTTTCTGACATTGACTAGTCATTGACTTCATGTACACATGTATTTCCTCATGTTCTGGCAGCAAAGTGAAATAATTTCAACCTTCCAAACATGTATAAATTGATTTTGCTAACATTCTAGTAGAAAGTACATTGTAGTACTTATTTTATTTTATATATTTTTTTTTATTATGATGTACCCAAAAAGTTTTGTGCACCAGCTAGTGCACCTATTCCCAAAAACGCATTTCAAGCCCCGCCATGCTTGCTTTCTCCCACAGGTGTCTGTCAGGCCGAGCTGATCCATGGCACTCGCACGTTCAGCGGCGGCAAGTTTAACTCCAACCTGGACTACAACGAGGGTAGCCTGGAGCTGACGTACAAACACGGCGCCCGCTGCCACAAGGACCAGTTTGAGCGCAGCTCGGTCGTCAGTTTCGTGTGCGCCAACAGGACGGACAACGGCAGGCCGGTGTTCATAGATGAGTCGGAGGACTGTACCTACTATTTCTCCTTCCATACACCACTGGCTTGTGAAACCCAGGTCAGGCTTTTTGTTTCTATAATGTGCTGATGTAAACAATAGCCAGCGTTGTTGCACCCCTGGCTAACACTTCTGGCTAATCATTGGTTTACGGCAATGTGGTTTACAGGCTTATTACTATCTGTTACTATCAGATATCAAAATACATGTGAACAGAATTATAACATTACAAGATTTCTACAGGATACATGTATTCATGGACTGTGAATATTTGATAGATGAATTATGATGTATGCCTGCAGGGCACTTTTAAAAACCTCACTCAGTGGCAATATGTTGTCCCTGGATAAAGAAAGTAGCATAAATGAAATGAGCTGTATTGAATACCCCAGAACTGATGTTTTAAAAGCTATTGGATGAATAGACAAAAAGTTAAATGATATCACAAGTATATACAATGCTACTTGGTATTGTATTTGTGATAGGTAATACAGTACAAAAATAGGTCATACTTAATTATATCTTTCGTTGTTGATGCTGTTTTACAACTGGGTTCAAGAGTAGAATTTGCCCTCCTACAATGATTTCATAACGATGTGTCAAATTTACATGTAATGTAAACTATGTTCCCACAGGTCCCTTGCATCGTGGACAACGGAACAAACTCCTTTGACCTTTCCCCTCTGATCAAGGCTGAAGGTCACTTCATGGCGCCCTCGATAGGAGGGACCGGGGTGTACTACATCAACATCTGCCGACCTTTGAACCCCATCCCTGGGGTCAGATGTCCACCGGGGGCTTCTGCTTGTATGAAGGAAGATGACAAAAATCCTGTGGTATGTTTCTTGCCTTGCTCATACATAAACTCAAGTACTGTATCATTAGCCTCTTTTCACTCTGTTGCAAGTTAGGCTAACACTCCAAGTCTAATAGTTTTATTCCTACCATCTTCTTTTCCTGCAAATGCAATGTAACAGTTATAATGATGGGGAGGTAAAAGAACTTCAAGAGCATCATGTCTATTTCACTAAGTACATTTTCCATGTTCCAGAGCCTTGGAAGAGTGTTTGAACAGCCCAAGATTAACCCAGTAACGAAGGAGATCACAATCATCTACAAGCACGGTTCGAGGTGTGAGAGTAACCCCAACTACAACAACACTGCTCAGATTGTCTTCCGATGTGAACAGGGAACATCAGTGGTGAGATTCTAAGTTTATTTTTAGGTGCAAATCAGTGATGTAGTTAATAAATCATCAGAAATGCGTGTGGATGGTGTTCAGCACCAAGATGGTGTTCAGCACTAAGGACAGATGTGTTCACCTGTGTGTAGATGGTGTTCAGCACCAAGGACAGGTCTGTTCAAATGTGTGGATGGTGTTCAGCACCAAGGACGGATGTGTTTATCTGTGTGTGGATGGTGTTCAGCACCAAGGACAGGTGTGTTTACCTGTGTGTGGATGGTGTTCAGCACCAAGGACAGGTGTGTTAACCTGTGTGTGGATGGTGTTCAGTACCAAGGACAGATGTGTTTGCCTGTGTGCAGATGGTGTTCAGCACCAAGGACAGGTATGTTTACCTGTGAGTGGATGGTGTTCAGCACCAAGGACAGGTGTGTTTGCCTGTGTGTGGATGGTGTTCAGCACCAAGGACAGGTGTGTTAACCTGTGTGTGGACGGTGTTCAGCACCAAGGGCAGGTGTGATTACATGTGTGTGGATGGTGTTCAGCACCAAGGACAGGTGTGTTCACCTGTATGTGGATGGGGTTCAGCACAAAGACAGTTTGAAGTAAACTGTTGCTTGTGTTTTCCCTCCAGGGAAGCCCACAGTTCAGCTACAAGACAGACGACTGTGTGTACTTCTTTGAGTGGAAGACTAACGTGGTGTGTGCAGCCCCCAAGCCTGTGCAGACCACAGAGTGCACCTACACAGACCCTGCTCTGAAGTACACCTTCAATCTCACCAGTCTCAGAAGCACTGGTGATAACGGTTATGAGGTAACAGTTAGGACATCATTCTTGGATCATGTTTTTGGTGATTGTCTTGAAGTTCCTAAAAAGTAATGGTTTACATGTAAAGCATGTCTGCAAAACCTATTATGTGTTGTGCATAGCACTTTAGCAGAACATCTTTTGTATTCATGTATATAAGGATGACACCCCATCTATAGTTTTCAAATATTGTGTCAGAAAAGATATCATCTGCAGTGCAACAGGCAAAATTGCAAAGTTGACCAAACAACCAAAAGAAACTGTGGGAAATCTGGATTTTGCATAGGCACAATATGTTCCATGGGCTGTAGTTGTAGCTTGGACTTCATGTTTGCAGTATTTGATATCTGTTTCTTATCATATCTTCAGGTTGAGGACAATGTCCAAGGTGGTAAGTACAGCCTGAATGTGTGTGGCACAGTGCCCAGGGCAGGCTGTAACAAGGACAGTGCCGTGTGTGTGACACTAGCTGACGGGAAGAAGATCTCAGCTGGCAAATTTAACACCCAGACCTTCAAGTACGAGGGAAACCTGCTGACCCTGTCCTACAGCGACGGGACGACATGCAGGGGGAGTGAGAAGTACAGTACTAACATCATCTTCAAATGTGCAGAGGAACAGAACAGTCAGCCTGCTATATTCAGTGTAAGTCAGAGTATTTACATCTGTTGTGTATCGAATACAGATTGAAGTTGAGCTTGTTGAGGTACATGTACCATAAAGGGCTAATCTTCCAGGCCTTGTTCAAGGGTTCAAGTACAGATTATGAAAAAGTACAATCTTTAAGAATTAAGTATTAAGTGTTATGGCCAGGGTTGAGATCTGAGAACTAATCATGATAAGAGCAGCACTAATTACAATACACACAACAGCTTTCTTTTGCTATAATTACCATCTGCAAATTACAGTCAGGTTTTTCTCTTTCCTCTTTGATGTATGACTTATTCATATAACCAGTGTAAAAGGCATCAAAATGTCTGTTTTAAATCAAAAGTTAGTTTTGCTCCTTTCCTCAAAAATCTTTAGGCTTGTAACATTTCTACAGATTATTTTATCATAAGAAGTTTAATTTTTGATAAGTTATATTTCTTTCATAGTCCCATTGTCTGTTTTCTCCAGATGACCGGCTGCTCGTACACGTTCATGTGGAAGACCTCGCTAGCCTGCCCCCCGGCCAGTCAGCCCTGTGCCATCCAGCAGAACGGACAGACCTACGACCTGAACCTCCTCTCACAGGAGACCAACAGCTGGAGGTTCAGGGACAAGTTTGGCAACAAGTACTACCTCAACCTGTGTCAGCCTGTACACCAGGGACCTCCTAGTATGTACAACAATTAACTAGAAATATTCTACTTTAAGATATTTGCTTGAAAGACAGATAGAACTTTTCAACTTTGATTCAAGTGGTTGACTTGGAATTCAGTATCTACAAATGGGAAACCACCCTTTGCTAATATATCAACAGCATCCTGATGAGAACTTCTGTTGACAAAGACTCCAATCAAGATACATTTTTGTACATACCTGTAGAATTGCACTTGTTGACATATATATACTAAAGGTCTGTGATGTTGCACTACTAGTATTTCATTTTGTGGATTTCATCTGAAATACAAAATTGAAATCCACATACTCTATGTCTTCAGTGAAGCTGTACCAAGTCTTTTTTGGAACCTTGTTTTGGAAACTGGGTTATTCCGATATGTTGACTATGATATGTTTCTGTATTCTACAGGGTGTGACCCCAATGCTGCTGCCTGTAGACAGAGAAATGATGGCACAGTAGATAACCTGGGAATGGTCAGCTCTCAGACTATGAACGTGGATGGTAAGCACATGTCCAGTACCATGTAGTTGTCACTAACTTTCATTTACAGAGTTCTATCATTGCGCTTTGAAAGCATTGACTGCATTTCAGCACCAAGGACAGGAGCTATTAGGTGGCTTAGAATTTATGTCTGCAGAGTTATTGTAACAGAGAGAAAGCTTTGGTTAAGATTTGATTTCTTTTTAGCACCAAGGACAGGAGCTATTCTATAAGCATAAAGTGTCTACATCTAACTGTGCCCAGGATTTATCAAAAAAGTAGGGGTCCTTCCAGGTCTTTTAAGAGCGAATGTCTATAAGGGTCAGACAATAGTGGCACCGGTCAAAAAATTGATTTGGTTCATTTTTTGCACATTGATACTATGTGATAGTACTTGGTACATAATCCCTCAAAATAGCTTTCTATTTACTCAGAACCCTTCGTTGCCACCACTCAGAACTTTTAAGCGTTCCACTAGGTTCTCCACTAGCTCACACAACTTCACCGTCCAAATTCCTTGTTCGAAATCTTTTACAGTGACAGCTGAACACCCTGGAAGAATGGCAAAGCAAATGGCTCATGCAGTTTAATCCCGAAAAATGCTACATTATGCACATAACAAACAAACGAACACCACATGCAACTAGCTACCAGTTTTGTGGTCAGGCTTTAGCAACCACAAAAATCCATCCGTATCTGGGCGTCATGCTGACAAGCGGACTGAAGTGGGGTGCACATGTTAATAATATCACAACTAAGGCGAAACAGACATTGGGAGTGATTAAACGTAATCTGTGGGCATGTCCAACTAGAGTAAAATCACTTGCATACACGTCACTTGTAAGACCGAACCTAGAATACGCTGCGACAGTATGGGATCCATATACAAAGAAAGACAAAGACAAATTGGAAAGGGTACAGAATCAAGCTGCAAGATTCTGTATGAACAACTATGTAAGAGGTGCTAGTGTCACGGAAATGAAAAGAAACCTACAGTGGACCTCACTTGAAGACAGAAGAAAGATGTCTCGACTATGCATGATGTACAAAATGACTAATAAACTGGTGGATGTCCCAACTACTAAGTACCTAATACCAGCCCAGAAGAGAACAAGAAATAGCCACGCATTCAAGTACCAGAGTTATCAACCAAGGATTGAGGTGTTCAAGAATTCATTCTTTCCTAGAACTATCGCAGAGTGGAACTCACTGTCACCAAGTACAGTAGGGACACTGTCAATAGATAGCTTTAAACAATGTCTAGAGCTAGAAGTTCAAGGGTTAGGTGGAACAAGTCGATCGGTGTAATATAGCCAGCTGCCGCCGCGCCGCGTGCCTGCGAAGCTGGTGTGTTACGCCGAAAGGCGGTTATACCGGCTATACAGATACAGATACAGATACAGATACAGAGTTTCTTTCACCGTATGGCCAAGCTTTGGAATTCCCTCCCTGACAAGTGTTTCCCACCAACCTACAATCTACAGGCTTTCAAATCTAATGTTCACCGCCATCTCTTGACATAGCCATGTTTCTCTCGGCTCTCCATTAAAAAAAAAAACTAGTAAATTTGTCCCTTCCACTCCCCCAGACACAGGGTTGCAGGTTATGTACAGTGAGGGAGGTGCCGGGGTGTGTGATGACCACGCCCGCAGGTCCAACAGTAACGCAGCCTCCATAGAGATCCAGTTCTCCTGCGGATCCACAGTGGGAGGGCCACAGCTACACAGTATAGACAGCAACGGCAGGTGTCACTTTGTCGTCAACTGGAGATCTGCCATCGCTTGTGCTACAGAGAGGTAAGGTTTTAAACATACAGTCTGCTTTAGCCCTGAATCAGTTGACAAATAAAATCTTTATATACCACACAGTACACAATACTAAACATGAGTAACCAGTAGTAACATTGGTAGGTCATCTACTAACCACTACCCATCTTTCACTTCAAGCCTTAACATCACTTTATGCCAGAAGGGCGGTGGGCTTGTTACGTACATCTCGAACGTCATTCCTGCAAGAAGAGTCCAAGACTTAGAAGTCGCGGACTTAGAAGTAATGTGGATTGAGGTTCGACCACTCAGGCTCCCCAGGATCGTTCCGTTTATAGCCATTGGTGTGGTTTACCACCCACCTTGTAGGAACAATAAGGAGGGGAATGATCACATACTGTCTCACCTGGTGAACACGGTCGATGTCATCCACAGACGCCAGCCCCAGGCTGGTGTTCTGCTGTGCGGCGATGTCAACAGACTACCGCTTCGACGTCTCCAAGCCGCCCACCCAAGTCTAAAGCAAATCGTGAAGCAGCCTACCAGAGGCACAGCTACTTTAGACGTCGTGATCACGAACATGGCTCAGTTGTATCATGAACCGCAGATCATTGCACCGATAGGTAGAAGCGACCACGCCTGTGTGCTGCTTCAGGCTCGGGCTCCGGGTGAAAAGCAAGCACCAGTCAAGCTGACTCGTAGGCTGGTCACTAACTCCAAGAAAACAAGCTTCGGACTTGCTATTGCCACAACTGACTGGTCACGCGTGCTTGAAGCCACGTCTGTGGAAAAGAAGGTCTCGACGTTCTACGACATCATCACGGGTCTCGTGGAACATCACTTCCCGCTGAAGACTAGGTCGGTTCGGATGAACGACAAAAGCTGGATGACGGAAAGGGTGAAACGAGCCATTTCACAGAGGCAAAAGGAATTCCAGCGACACGGGAAGTCGCCCTTGTGGAGACAGCTGAGAAATAAAGTGAAGACTGTGGTCCAGCAGGCCAAAAGTTGGCATTACAGAAACTGCATTCAGCAGTTAAAACGGGAAAACCCACGAAAATGGTGGGCATGTATAAACCGGGAGCTCGGCCGATCGCAGGAGAAGCCGAGACGCTCTGACATGGATGGGACTCCAGCGGGAACAGGTGGCAGAGACGATCCGCCAGTTCTTCTCTGAGGCATGGTGTCAAGGTGATCCACTCCAATGTTCCCTCTACCAGTCGGTGACCCTGGTCCTGAACTGTGCTCAATTGGGGAGACCAAGTGCCTTCTGAAGTCTGTCAAACCCCCAGAAGGCAAGCGGGCCAGATGATGTACCAAACTGGATTCTTTCAGAGTTTGCAGACGACCTTGCCCCGATTGTGACCCACCTATTCAACGCCTCGTACGAAGAGGGAACAGTACCTATAGACTGGAAATCAGCAAACGTGGTCCCGGTGCCCAAATTTGCCGGAGCATCTAAAGCCCAGGACATGAGGCCTGTGTCCCTGCTCTCAGTCTTAGCAAAGCTTCTGGAGAGGAGCATCTTGAAAAGGCTACTACCTTCCATCCAGGCTGTCATCAAGGACCAATACGCGTACGTAAAGGGTTCCTCTACAACCCTGGCTCTGGTTCGGATGGCGCAAACGTGGTTAACTGCGGTAGATTCAAACAAGCCAACCTTGGTCAGAGCGATCTTCGCTGACATGAGTAAGGCGTTTGATCGTGTGGATCATGCTCGGCTTCTACAGCGCGTTATTGACATCCACACTAGCCCTCGCATGCAGAGGTGGATCGTCAGCTATCTCCAGAACCGCCGGCAGAGGGTCGTCATCGACGGCGAGACTAGTTCATGGCGCACCCTAACGTCGGGGGTGCCACAGGGAGGCGTTCTTTCCCCCTACCTGTTCATTCTCTTCATGAGCACGCGCACCACGGTACACATTGACACAATGAACGTTGGGTATGCCGATGACGTCACACTGTCAAGGACTCTCTCCGTAGCCTTAGCTGATCAGGACAAAACTGTAGAGGACGAGTCTTCTCACCTCAACTCCTGGGCAGAGGACAACAAGATGACACTGAACGGTGGGAAGAGCCTCCTTCTCCAGATCTGCTTCAGTCGATCTGTCCCAATCCCACCCACGATCACTCTTGGAGGTCAACCAGTGCCATCTGTCGACTGTGCTAAGGGACTGGGTTTCCTCATAGACAAGGACCTAACCTTCAATGAACAGGTTAACTCCATGATCAGTAACGCTTCACGCAGACTACACTACTTGCGCCTACTAACGAAACAAGGCACCAGCGTTACCGACCTAATCCAGATTTATCTGGCGCTAGTCCGGCCAGTGCTCGAATACGGACATGTGTTACTGGTCGGGTGTTGTAAGGAGCAAGAACTGGCCATCGAAAGGGTCCAGCGCCGGGCCTTGCGCATCATTTCCTTGGGAGGAAGGCGTAGCGTGCCTGACCTACCCACACTGAAGTCGAGGAGGGAAGATGCGGCAGTACACCTGCTCCAACGCATGCTTCAGGAGGACCACCCTCTACATGACCTAGTACCGCCCTCAAGGTCTGGTGCCACGGGACGGACACTTAGAAACTCTAGCACTATCAGTGTACCAAGGGCACGGACTGAGAGACTAAGAAATTCTTTCCTCCATTGCGCAATCCGTCTTTACAACAAGACAATTAGCACTGAGTAATTGGACATCTGGTAATCGCGCCAGGCACAGCATATGTTTAACTGTGACATGTTATTTGTGATGTTTTTAATATTGAGATTTTACCTATGTGATGATTCGTTTTAAAATGTAAATGTGTTTAATGTGACTGGTGTAACAAGGACGTAATTCGGGTGTGTTGCCCGCGAGTTCCTTAATGAATAAAGATTGATTGATTGATTGATCACTTATATACAGTATACAATGTAGTTGTGCTCCTTCCACTAGTAGTGCTTGTCAAAAATGAAGACTGTCTACTAACTAATGTATAGTGTATCCTTCCTGTACCCTAACATACATGTACATGACTTGTACACAATCTATAATGGATTACATTTACTAAGTGAAACACTGTGAATTGTACTTACTAGATGTTTGTTTGTTCACAGAGAATCAGTCACACCGGATGAAAGTGGAAAGATCAGAGATCCATTCTCCCAGAGTGTCATCCCTATATCACAGCTCTACAACAATAATGGGTGAGTTGTGTAGCATGTTAAACTTTGTTGCTGTTGGCTGAAACTAAAACATTCTTATTTTTAGGCTGATTTTAAATGCTGTGAACTGGAAGAATTTGGAGAAATTGAATTGCTTATTATAATATAGCCAATGAGAGATATTTGTTTGCCAGTAAAGTACTAATAGGGCTTCTGTTCCAAACCCAGTGCACTTCTACTAAAATAACATTTTCCAGTTAACTTGTTTTAAAGCATTCAAGTCGGCAAGAATGACTACTAATACTTGGAATGTAGTAAGAATTTCTAGAATGTACTTCAAATATCCAGGAATATACAAAGAATTTTAATTCAGATGGCATTCTAGTTCATTCTGCCTCTCATGTGAATAGGGTATTGTTTTTATATAAAACTACTTGAAGATGGCTGAATGTTGATTTTTTTTCCCCCCAGTAACTCGTGGCGAGTGACGGGTGACCTGAGACCCAACAGGGACGTGTACGTGTACTACATCAGGATGGACGATGTTGGCATACAGGAGGACCAGTGCAGAGGTGCTGCCGTTTGCCAAGTCAAGGAGAAGGATTCCTTCATGAAAGTTTTGGGCAAACCTAACATGATCAATTATTACATGCAAGGTAGGCACTGACAGATGTCAGCTTTTATGTATGAATATTATATATATATAATAAGATATTAATTTGAAAGTTTGGTGTTCAGTGTGTAAATTTGTTAAAGAAGGCCCTTTGCTCATCTCATAATATGAGTCATATATTCCAATTTTTATCAATCATTTTAATATGAACTCCAGTGGTTGTATACCCCCTGCATAGCAACAGTCAATTTCTGATGCTTTACCTTTACCTTTCGATAGATATGTACTTTTACTTCATGCAGCTTTTCATTGCAAAATTAGAGAATGATTGTGGAGTTTTGCCATCATGAAATGTTGAATACATAGGAAATTTAGATGATTGTGTGATATTCTGTCTGTTGTAGATGGAGCCCTGGAAGTTCAAATTCTCTCTGGTACAAAATGTGGGAGAAAACAAGAAAAGAAGACCAGCACCACTATAATCTTCCATTGTTCAGAATACATCGAAAGGGTAAGATAGGATACCATAACATTTTACTGATACAAATGTACTTCTCTGTCATTGTCTTCTTTTTAATGACATTTCTTTGTGACATTTCTTTGTGAGTTTCAATGGATATTAATATGACTCTTTTTTAATTTCTTCTGAACAGGGCCAGCCAGAGTTTTTCTCTGAGTCTCATGATTGTGAGTACATCTTTAACTGGTACACCAGCGTCGCCTGTTTGAAGGATGATGTGGAGGAAAGTGTGTAAGTCTTCAGCTTAACATCCATCAACTACAAATGTACACTATCACTTTAAATTCTGGAAACTTCTAAGACATTAGACATGTAGAATGTTTTTCTGTAACAGGTTATTGTATTGTAGCTTCTCTCTTTAAGTTACAGCTACTGTATGCACTAAGAGAGAAATACATGCCATTGTTGTATTGTATATACTCCATAATGTAGAAGGAAATCATGCTCTCTCAAGGAACCTTATTACATGTATGTGGTACCCGTATTATCTGAAAGATACTCGTAAACAAATCCTAGTGTCATCCCAGAGAAATCCTAATGTGATGTGTAAAAGAAGTCTTTCAATGTAATAGCCCCAATGTTTGCTATCATTGATCTACAAGTATTCTGATTTTTATCTTGTCTGTTTCTCAGCTCCATCCCACCCCCAGAACAGAACCTGCCTGATGATGGGACAGGGATTCCCCAGTTCATCAGCCGACATAAGAGCTCTGCTGCCACGGTGGTGGGGATCATGCTGGCTATAGTCATCATCTGTGTTCTAGTCATCATCTTTCACAAACAGGAGAGAAGGTAGGAGGAACCTGTTATGAGCAACAGCTATGCTCCAGTTTTAACTTTTACTCAGTAAATCGTTGAAGAGATTCATTTGTCACGTATAGATACAGTTCCTAGTGAATTCTTTCATCAGTGACAACTTGGAAGGATAAGGATACTAACCTCCAAATTTTCGATGGCTATCAGTCCATCTTGTTCACGGAGTGGCCTAATCTCGCGAGAGCGCGAGACTAGGCCCGAGACTTGCATCTGTCTGTCGGGTCCCACCCCCCGCTGCCTCCCTCAGTAAATGTTTTTATCCATTATAAAAGTCACAGTCATTTACTCTGCAAGACATGATTGACAATCAAGCATCTAACAGGTTGAAATTCCAGTTACAATTAGCACTCTGTTTAGAGGTATCAACATTTAATAATCTTTTCCCTGTTGTCCAATGCTAATGCTTTGTTTCCTATTTCAGACAAGCATTTGTACACAAAATGAAATCTTGCTGTGGAAGAGGAGATTATAGTCACCCAACCTACAGATATACCAAGGTAAACAAAACCAACATTACATAATATTATATTACATGTATTGAAATTCTATTATGTGATTAATGATTATGATAGAAGATTAATCAAAACCCTTCCTCCTCCAGTTTATGTCTAACGGTGATGAGGATGGTACACTGTTGATGGGTGGACTGGACAGTGATGAGGAGAGCGGCAACAGCCAATCAGAAGAGGCGTCAGATGACTTTATGGTAGAGTTTGACGCAGAGTCCCATCAACAAAACAGAGCAAAGAGAAAAAAGGTGAGTGAACAATAGACAGTCCCAGAAATACAGTAACAGTTGTATCCTTTTTTGTCTGTTATGACTATCAAAATGAATGACTAGGGTAGCTTCGGTTAGGGACGTCCTCCCAGATAAGACATAAATTGGAGGTCCCTTGTTTGAGGAGAGCCACACCTTAAGCATGCTAAAGATTCCCCATGCTTATTGAAAAAAGCAGGGGTCCTTCCTGGTATGAGTGGTTCAAACCATACAATCTGGTCTCAGGGTTGACATCTTGAAAAGGTAATAGTCACCTGTTATGTCAATCCACAACTGTCGTAATCCTGATAAATAACTTTATGAAAATATGCCTTTTTATGAAAATATGCATTTTTTTTTCAAAACTTACATTTTGATATGTTTTTTTCATATTTGAATCTCCAGAAAACCAAGCCTAAATCAGATGAGAACCACACAGAAGAAGTCAGGCCTTACCATGATGACAGTGATGAGGATATGCTGGATGTGTAGCTGACTTCTACACGGAAAAATCTCTCATATTGTAAAGAATCTGCAGCTGCTTTGGTGTAGGGTTAGCATTGGCAAGCTGGGACTTGCTTCAATCTGTTTTCTGGTGTAATCGTATTGTGATGATTCAGAGAACATCAAGGCTTTTCTATTCAGGGTACAATATCCTACATATAAGCATGGGAGAGGTTGATATGTGAAAATATTAATATTCAAGATTATGTCTAATAAGAGTATGCTATAAGTAACTCCAGTGCTATGGCACTGTTGGAAATAATCAAAACGTTAGGAAAAAAGATGCACTGTGCACAAAAATCTAGCATTCTTCCTTCCTGTGTGATCTATTTCTAAAGCTGGGTGGAGCATACTCATGTCATAACTGCTTACCTACAGACATACCACAGTATTCTTGTGTGCCTCGTGTGATGACTTTAATAAATAAATGCGTTTGATAATGCCAAATATTACTTGAGAAAACTTTAATCCACCACTTTGTGCCACATCGTATAATAACTAGCACTAAGTGATGAAAATATGTTATTTTCTTCCTACAACTATAAGCTGGAAGATTGTGTACATTGGGCACATTGTATTAGCAACTATATTGTATTTACTTGAAAAAATTTATTGCTGAGAGTGAAATTTGTATGTAATTTTTTGGTTCATGAAAGTATTTGCAAAATGCTGTATAGAATTGTGCCCAATACTGATGAATCAGATGTACATGATGCTACATGTATTTATCTTATTATTATTAATTACTTCTCTGGTCTCTGTTAAGGGTCATCTCAGAGTCAACATTTTGTTGTAAATAATGATGAAGTTTATCATTGGCATCTATGGCTACTTAGACACCAACTTATTTATGAGATGTACCCTTTGCTTAAGACCTTTATAACTTTATTTTGCCCTCAAGCTCAGTGCTGCTTTGAAAACGAGCTTTTCATCCTGTGAGTTACTCAGTGTTACTCCTTGTTAAAGGTACATGTAATTGTAGTCAATAGCACAGAAATACAGTTTTTTAGTCAAAGGTACATCTACATGTATACTGGACACGTATGACTTTTCTAAATAGCAAAGTTACAGACAACCATATTGTCTCAGCAGCAACTAAGCATACAGTTGTGTGCCTCAGTATGCTTGATAACAATTGAAGGATACAATGAAATGCTTGTAATAACTTCTTATAACATTTTTGACTTGTATAAAGTATCATGCTCAACATGCTTACAGAAGCAAAAAACATGCATGATTGAAAAAAAAGGCCAGCACTGGCGACTTTTGTATTTGTGCAAATTTCTGCAATGAAAAGAAACCTGTCCTATTATTGTAATAACTCTTGATTGTTTTACACAAGCAAAAAAAAAACATGCATGATTGAAAAAAGGCCAGCACTGGTGACTTGTATTTGTGCACATTTTTGCAATGAAAAGAAACCTGTCCTATTATACGTCTTGATTGTTTTACATTATTATTGATTGATTTGAGAATGTGCCTTACTTGATTACTCAATACTTTAAAACGTAGTGAATGATAACACTGCCAAATTGTGATGGTGCATTGTGTTGATACTATGGGAACAGGTAGATTATGCTAACTCTAGACTGATGTTGTTGGGTGATAATGTTGCACCTTTTATGTCAAATGCTAAATGCTAGGTGCAATACAAATAGGAATGCCAGCACTTCAGCATTACAAGAGTTTAAAAATTTCAAGAGGAAAAGTTTTACATTAGTGATTATTTTTGCTAATATGGCTAAAACTTTAATGAAGCAGCTTTATACAAGTTGTTCCTCGTACATAAATGTGTTGAATCAATTTGAATGATTATGTAATAATAAGTTTGAACTGAAAGATGCAAATTGTATGTATCCTGTCATGGCCAGTTGCACACGTTTTTAGAGGGATATAAAGTTTAACCCTCACCATGCAGCCATGCAGGCTTCCATTGTACTCATTACAAATGTGGTTACTATGTGTCTAAATCAACAAGAAGGAGGTTAAGAGTCAACTTTTCTTACTTTACGTGGTAACCAACGCTTGTAAATATCAAACAAGTAATAATTTCCTTCTGCAGATGTTGAGAATTGATAAAAATGCTTTACTACATGGACAAATGCTACTGTTTCATGATTTTTTTTCTGTTATGACTTTAAAATGCTTTTGTATGATACCCGTTCGATACATGTTCATACTACACCCATGATGACAGCGCATAGTGTAGCAAGAAGAGATGGTATTAGACCGGATGCACACGTGTAGTACAGATCCACAGTTAACCGTTAAGTGACCAAAGTCTCTAGTGCCATAAGTAAGTGGTACAAGTTATTTTAACCCCAACAGTTGATTTTGACAGTAGTAACAAGTACCCAGTCTTTGATTATACTTCTAATGGAGTTCTTGACACGGGTAGAGTAAAGTAACCATTACCAAAGTGGACAATTACTGTTTGTGGCTACTTGTACTTGGCAAGGAGTATTATATATTGTACACGTAAGACAAGAAAAACAATATAACACAGAATGGCGACCTTAGATCGACTTTATTCCACTTGAAATTAAACAATTTGTCATTGCACACCATATAGAAAGCTAGCTGCATATGAAGATGATGTTCTACTGCGGTAACTAAAACAGATAACCCGCTATCCCTGTTATGGTTTTATTACCTTACAAAGACTGGAAGCAAAAATAGAACTATTACTTGTTTATTGCACTTTAGATTCACTGCCAATTTGCATTGCTTAAAAAAGCTGTACATTATTGCTTTTAAATTTCATCATATTTTTCATGATCATTGTGCTAACGCCTGCACTTTAGTAGCCTCGATATACTATAATTTGTTTACAGACGCTCAATAGTCATAATGCTTTTAAAATCTAGCGCTATTTGCAACATTCTTGGACCTTTTAAAAATGCTTTTTCCTATAGATCTGCCGTCAATGCTTGCGTGTCTTCCGTTCCGAAGTCTTCGTTGACCGGGACTTTGTCGTCGATGTACAGCCGGACACGGAAAGCCTCGTCCCTGCCGGGCCGGAGGATGACGGCGTCAGGCCGGGCTGGGGAGCGCACCCTGTCTCTCCGTCTGGGCGGAAGGTAAAATTTTAATCTAGTTATTCATCTATTAAAATCGTTATCTTTTGCTATCTTTCTTCACAGTTAGCCTAAGTTAGTCTTGCATGGACTTGACGTGTTGATATAAACTTGATTGTAAGCAATTAATTTGCAAGTGTAATTTGACTAAATCCTCTTCAAAGTATAGCTGGTCGGCTAGCGAGGCTTTGATGAAAAATTGACTTTTTTGTTGCTTTGTAAACACACTGAATGCTTATTGTACTGAAAGATTTATCATCAGCATCATACAGTAACACACACTATACGTCTTTCGCTGAATCCTAGCGACGGTGCCATTTGATTTGATTTTGATTTTTGGTCATGTACGTAGCCAAACGGATAACTGATTCACTTTTATGATCCACTATACATGTAAAACATAAAACACACTGAGTCTGACCTTTTCCTGATGATCCATACAGCGACAGCCACGCCGACAATGATGACCACGGCGATGGCCACATTAACTCCTATGACCAGTGGGATGTTATTGGTGCCTAGTTTTTCTGTTGGTAGTGCTGTGATGAGAGATATCGGTTATTATTATTAATGCTCAGTGTTTTCTATCTCTACAGATGTAAGTTTGAAATGCATATGGTTTGCCAGGTAATAAAATAACGTTGCAAACTTATCACAATATTCATAGAGCAACATGTATCTTACTAGAAGGATCTACACTGATGCACACGACTTACAATTGTAAAGCATTGGAGCTTTCAGACGGTATCCATCTTTCTTAAGCTATTGACGAAGACACGCACTACATGTATCTGTTACAGTTACTGGACGAGCGTGTTATTTGTTGCAGAAGAGAACTTTAGTGTGGGATACTGAAATTTGTAAACCTGGAAAAAAACTATTTAGTGTGGCAAAAAATTAACGCATGACTTACCGATGACTGTGAGATGGTTGGACGCCTGAGCCTGCCCAAACTGGTTCGAAACAGTGACGGTGTATTCTCCCTCGTCATCTGGTGTGACGTCATTGATGAACAACCAGCCTTCTTTGGTAAGATTTATTCTGCACAAAAGAAAATCCAAGTCGTCATCTTTAGTGAGATTTGATACATTTCATCTATACTGAAGTTATGTGTTGTCCACAGTTTCATTTTTTGGCTAATACATGTATGCTTTCCATTTACAGGCCTTCGCACACTAAATCAATAAATGATCAGTATCGTCGGTGGGGTTGTTATACTTATAGCATGTGTATTTTAGTGACGATTTTGACTGTTTTACATCATTGTCATTATTGGATGGTGCTGTGAATCCCACTGATTTTCTGTTGTTTTGCAGATAGCGCCAACAAAGAGGCAATTGGATCGGTTAAGGTCAGACATCCAGGTTATTCAGGTAATTAATAATATAACTGGATATGATTTTGGAAACGGTCAGACGTTTCAGGTGGCATCCCGATTACCTTTTGTCTGTGACACTGGAGAGTTGTCAGAAAAGCAGGTTTGTAAGTAAGTACGAACTAGCAAAGAGGCGATTGCGTAAAGACGCGGTCTATATAAAATCATGTTGATTGCATTTGCCCAAGCACCGGCGGTTTGGGATTTCAAAAAATATTATAGTCAACATGGTTGATTTGGTGGTGGGCCGAGTTGACCAAATTTGCGATGGGCCGAGTTGGTAATGGTCCGAGTCGTCCTGATTCCATTGCATATACAGATCAAACATCTCACCTAGGGTTGATAATCGTGACTGTCTGTGTGTCGTCCATGTTGACGCTGGCCACAGTGGTGTCCCCGTGTCTCCAGCTGATAGTGAGCGGTGGTGAGGCCTCCCAGCTCACCGACACTGTAGCGTTCTCACCCAGGATGGCTGTCTGCGGGTCCTGCAGAGGTGTTACTATGGCAGGTTCTGGAAGTGACGTGGAGAAAGCTTTATTTTCGGAGTTGTCTTCATTGGAAATACATTAAAAATTTCATCAGTCATCCAAGTCATTCAGTGGCCTGGCAGCGGCTGACTTTCATTACAACGTAGGAGTGAGTTAGAAAATACATGAAGGCAAGGCGTGAGTTAGAGAATGTCACTTGCCACGTAAATACATCAATATATTATGTATTAGTCACGATTTGCAGGTTCGAAATTTTCATCCAAAACAACTGCACTGTATTAACAAGTTTTATAGGTAAAGACTTGTAAAAAATCACCCTTACCGACGGCGACAAGGCTGAAGAACACCTGGTCTGCTCCGTACTCGTTCTGTACCATGCACTGGTACCTGGGGAAACGGGATATACTTTTCATCAACCGTATTCTCAGTAAAGCGATATTATGTAAGATTTTAAAACTGTAAATATGAATAAATTTTCTCATCTAGATTGTCATCCTCAACAACGTTCAACATATTAGTGTCATCACTTCAAAACCCTCTTAAACTCAATCTAAAGTTGTGTGCTGGGAACTAGTCTAAACAGACACTGATATTTTCTTAGTAATACAGGAATGTCTTGAAGCCAAGAATGTCTTGAAGCAATGTTGAAAAGGAAAAGAATTAGCCAACTGAACTTTTCAAAGTTCGTATTCGTCACCTTCCTCTATCTGTGAACCTCAGGTCAGTGACCGTCAGTGTGTCACCCTTGATGACGTATTTCCCGCTCGTCACTACCTCATTTGCATTTCTGTACCACGTGACTGTCATGGGCGGGGTCCCCTCGAACGTGACCTTGAAGGTGATGTTCTCCCCCAGACGCAGAGGAGTCTCCGTACCGGGCGATGTCACTTTGGCGGGAACTGTCGATGCAACAAAAAAGCAACAACGTGATTACTTGTTCTGAATGCAAACTATCATGCGGCGAACAAACATGCGACCCTAGCATATGTATCTATATGCATATGCAGTACCATAACAAGCCGCCAGGGGAGGGGGCAAAATCTGATTATTTCACGCAAATACATGAAAACCACCACCAACATAACCGAATTTTTAGCGAATCTAAAGACACAATCTTGTTAATGATTGCAACATAAGTACATTGTACGTACTAAATGTGTATTTCTAAATACATGTACATGTATCTACAACGTTATTGCTGTACTATGAAAATGAAAATATTTAGTCTGAAGTTACAAAAGATATATGTGTATATAAACTATGAAGTAATCACGTACCGTTGACAGTTAGCCTGCCTAATATGCTCATTCTCCCCAGTGTGTTTTCCACTTCACAGGAGTAGTACCCGTCTGAGTCCCGCCTCACGTCTGGCAGTATTAACAGGTGGTCGTTACTCTGCAGTACCGCATTCTCCGGCAGGGGGAGCTCGTCACTGGCTTCTCTCCTCGCCCTTCTCTTCCACACTGTCTCGGAAACAGGGCTGGCACAAACAGATATCCATAGTTTTAACTTATTCAGATCAATGGAAAAGAATCAATGACTCAACATCAACCATGCTCCTTGGGATGCCAAAGTTGCTAAACAGAAAATTTGTGTGTAAAACAAACAGTTTTGGTGACAAAATTAGGACTGGAACATCGTTGCATTATGAAAGACCCGTCAAGACAATATCCCTCTTCTATTAATGGCTTAAAGACCTTAAACATGGTGTGGAAAACTCACTATGCATCGTCAAAGCACTGCATGGTGACCGTCTGCCCCTCCACAGCGTGAACAACCTCCGGGGACAGGACGACATGGGGAGGTCTGGATGTCACGTCTGCCAACGGGCAGAAATAGAATCATGTTACATATAACTACTTCACGAAACTTTCGCCATAATTTTAAAAGCTAAAAGGTTGGAACGCCCTAGATAAATTGGCAAATTGACTGAGTTAGTGGCCGGTGTTAGTGAGAGAGGTCCACACGTCAATGGCACTCTAAATGCCATGCTAGTTATATCACAGACAGAAATATTTGAAAAGACAATGACAAAGTAGCAGTACATAGTATTGTGACTCATCATTAAACCCTTTACTACTGTAACGGTACCAGTTCGTACATGCACATATACTAACGGCTTGTAATACATAGGGTCGCCTTTTTCTCGTCTCTATGTGATGCTGAATATATAGGTAGAGATGGGCTTTATTAAAATAACAACGCCATGTACTTACTTCCCGACCGGAGAATAACAGACGTTGCAGGACTGTGTGCGGTTGGGTAGTACATGTGAGGGGCTACCTCACAACTGGTGGAGAAAAACAGAAAATTCTATTAGTTTTCAACGGCGATTCCTTTTCTATTGATCTTCAATTGCAACTTCGTAAAGGATAATCATGTTTGAAACTACAGGTAGTATCATCGAGGCACGTAAAAAACTCTGCTATTGTTTTGGCATTTTTAAAAAACAATTTCTAAAGGTTCACAACGACCTCAATGAGATAGAGAAATGAATCACCTGTAGTTCCCGGAGTCCTGCAAGGTGGCGTATCTGAAGAAGAGGTCCCCATTTTTGTTGGAGATGAAAATCCGCTCGTCTGGTTCTACCCTCTGGAGAGGAAAGCCCTTATACCAGCTGTACGCACCCACTGAAATACACAAAACAATACAGTTTTATATCATTGAATAACGTTTTATCATTTGCGTTACGTGGCGCCTAAAAGACAATGGAAGAACTTTTCAGCTAAGAATTGCAGAAACAGTTGATTTGTGCATATGATATTCTAGTCCTATCAATTACTATATAGTTCTACTCACATGGGTAATGATCGGGAGCATCGCATCTGATTCTGAAGGTGTCTCCTTCGGTGACGACTATAGGCAGACGGACGGTTCGTTCAAATGGTTCCATATCTGAAAGAGGAAACAAAATATATTCAACAAATCATCAATGTATACATCATGTATACATCATGTATTACCTGCTATTGTATACACCGTGTATAAACTGCTAGTGATATTGCTATTGGACTAGAGTGTAAGTTATATACCAGAAAACAATTAATTAGGTACTCTAGCTGCTTGAGTAACTGTTTTCTAGATCTTTTGTACCTCATTACCTGGATGTCTAACATTTATCGAAGTCTATGTTATACTTACAGGCTATTCTTAGATATGTCGGTAGACTTATTTCCGCGTCGTCCTCGTTATATGCTACACACTGGTACTTCCCCTCGTCTTCTGGTCTCTTTAGACTAAAAATTTGCAGCTCTCCATCGACCAGTCTGTACTTGGCAGGCGTCAAGATCAACCCATGGCCGTCCTTTCTCCATTCATAGGCCGTGGTAGAGGAACGCCCCCTTACGGCACACGGCAGAGATGCAAAGTCTGGCCTGAACGCGATTATTTCTCTTTGATGCGCATCTACAATGGGCGGTCCCAGTCTTGGTACATCTGCTATGTCAAGTGAAACAAAATGTTTGTAATGAGATGAATAATGCCTGACTGAATATAGGTCGTCTACTGTACGAAATTCTGAGATTTCAAACTACTATGAACGAATTCCGATACGGTGAATGATTTCATGGTAAAAATCATTCTCCTAAAAGAAGTTTTTTTAGCTGTACTGTATGATATCTGTGATATTTTAAACGTTCAAATTTTACTTACCAGAATCCCGATACACTGCAACAGTGACAGAAACTGGAGACAGGAACAGCAACAGGAGTCTGAAGTGGAAGCCCATCGCTTGTCCTTTGGTCCTGTTGACGTTTTGCTTTCTTATAATTAAAAAAATTCCCCACATTGTCTGTCAAAGATCCAAATCTGGAGGAATAAAACACAATTTGATTTCTTTTTTACATAGCAGCACACACACTGGTTATCTACAGTGCCCACGGTAACTTTTACATTGAAAGAAAACAACACAGATACAATGTCGCTTCTACATCCGTTAAACTGGCCCTCCCATATCCTGTCTTTATTCTAGATCCCAATAAATCTTTACAATGATGACAGATTTTTGGCACCACAAAAGTATCGGAGTTTAAGTAATGTCAATCAAAATTCTGTTGAGGGTGGTCACTATCTAGTTTGAATAGAATCTACATTATATATATATAGCATCGTTAGAGTATTAGACTCAATACTCAATTCAAAATCTAGACAGACTTAAATCTGAGATAACACGTCGCCTGACTCGTACAAAAGACTTGCTAACTGACGCTCGGGGCTAGTTTCGCCCCGGCACACAAAGAAAATGGACATTAAGCTGTTATCTGATATGTTGTTGTCTGGTACCGGTAGCGGCAACTTTGTGTTTATAGCGTCTTGAATAGAACATGCTTGTAGATAAGAATATCGTCGTCGACGGACAAGCATGATAAAGGTCTAAACACACACACACACGCGCATGCACGCACATACAGACACGACTATACAGTCATACACGCGCGCGCACGCACGCACGCACACATACACACACACACACACAGAGAGAGAGAGAAAGAGAGATAGGGAACGTTCAGACAGAAAGCGGTTATACATATGTATTATGAAAATATTTGGTCGTTTCAAATCATCGCGTGGACAATTTTTTTCATGATATCATAGTCAAAGAATCCCGTCCATCAACTCTCCAACCCACTCCTTCAAAATACAAGTCAATGGTTTAACGCCGATAACAACCCATCCCTTCTTCTACCATTACCATGTTTACAGTCAGAAGCAGACAGAGTGAATCACCAATGTCATATTTCTGGGTCACCACCCTAATCCCATACCCTGGAGCTACTGCTACTGTTTTTACTGGCCTGTAATTTTGAACGAACAAAAGAGCACAGCGTGGGACAAAATGCACCATTTTACAAATGGTGTCGACGTTTGAAGTACAGCCATAGAGGAACCCTCGTTGCCCATAATCTCTATAATGAATTGATGAATTCTGTACCTACACGGTTAAAACGTAATATCTTTTACATTGTGGACATAAAGATTTAAACATTTCGCCATGATCTGACATGATACCAAAATGTTATATGTAGCACGGGGTAAATTTACTATACGTATACTATGACATAGTGGAGTGTTAAACCTTTCGAAATCGTCATGTACAATCGTTCTAGAAATTATGTCTTTTAACTGGTATTGACGAGGCAAAGATTTGAGGTGAAAAATAAGCATTAACATTCTAGATATTCATGTACAAGTGTATTTACGTTGTAGACATTATGTCTTAACCAGTAAATTGACGAGCTCCAGGCAAATATTAGACGTTAAACTGAGCATGTCGTTGCCAAACATACTGGGACATCGCACCGTATAGTACTAAGTATAACATTCAGAACGCGTGCAGTATAAAACCCAGAACATACCTGCTTGTGTTGTTGTGGCAGATTTCAGACCAACAAAGTCTCAGGAACCACCTGGACTCGCCTACCGTGTCGGTACTGAATATGTGACACAAGGGAAGTCGTCTTCATCGCTCAAGGACTACTTTACAATGCTCCAGGGGCTGTGAATCACTCTACCATTCAGGCGAAGTGGGGGCGAAGAGTGAGTGTTCAGTACTGACAGTCATATAGCTTGAGGGGCAAATAGCGCCAAAAACAAGATGGCGTCGGTGTCATCAGTAATAAGAAGGTCACATATTGACAATATGATGACCTTCACATTCTACGTAAGCATGTGCAAGGAGCGATAGGGGCAAATAGTATATTCTGCTATTTGATCTTTATTACTATGTATATATCGGTCAGTACGGAGATATGAAGAAAGGCGTTCAGGGTATTTCTGACGTTTCTGCCTGAAGACAAGTGTGCAATGACCCATGTAATTACTCCGGGGGGACACCACAGTGCTGCTTTATGCGTGTATTGCTAGACAGGTTTGCAGAGGTTGCAGCCATTCAGAAGCGACACCTAGCTGAAGATGCCTGAAACACAGTTTTGATCGCTGTTCCAACTCTGTCGTCTCAATGTCTCTGTTCTGTCAAATGATAGGAACAAGACACTATCACATCCTGTAACTCACTGGAAATAACTGATCTGAACTAAAACAAAAGTTCATGTTTCAAATTGATGTTGTCAGAAACTTGTGAATTCGTACAAAAGACACTTATTTTCAAGTGGAACTCTTGTTCACTTGAGAGATAACCCCTAACAGCTCAATTTCGCTGTTTGTCTTTACATGTTTGGGCGAGTACCTTATAATATACTCTGTTTTAGTCTGGTTTGGTCATGCAAGCATCTCTCTTTTTATTGCGGACAAAAACACGCCGCTACATTATTACGGAATATCTGTCTATAGCTAGGTCCGGTTCCCTTTGACCCCACAGCCTGTCGAAGCGTGTCCACAAAAGTTGTCCAACTGGTCTGACTGCGTACGGCAGCTACCGTCGAGGTCTATGGTGCTGTGAACTGACCCGTATCTGACTCTGAGCCAAGATGGTTTGAGTGTACGTGTATCTAATTACTTGATCGTAACCACGATCGGAGAGTACAGATTTGCCGTGAGTCTGATTCATATGCATGGTAGGTTATGTCTTTTCTTTTCAATGCATACATGTACGTACAGCAAATGCATGACTTCTACATCTAGCAACCATGTATTTAAGCGCCATGTTGGTCTTCACTGCTTTGGTGACATTTGGCTTTGGGAGTGGCTCTGGATTTAGGTGGTGTCTAATCAGGAATTTGCTATACGGCACTTCGGCGTTTATTTATTTGTCAAGAGCCAGCTGCAGATTTCCCCAAATGATTATGTCTTTCTAAGCAAATAATACGGTATAACGTTAATGCAAGCTACATCCTTCAACTGTACTAAACGCCTGTGGTAACTTTGGCATATCGTTGGTAACTTGACCGTGTCTTAACAACAACATTGAGTTTTCAACTAGAACAAACGCAGTGTTTTTTTTTCTATTCTTGTCATATGAGACATGATATGTTGCCTGCTGCATAGCCTTGTTTATTCTGTCATATAATAACTGTTATCAATACGAGTATTCATACATTTCTGATGAAATATGACTCAAATCTAGCTTCTCAATAGATTCTTAATAGATGATTGTTGGCCTATACGTTGCCCCATTGAAATTTTTAAATCTTTCTCACTTTAGATGACCTTGAATATGTGCAGTCGTGGGGTCATGGCCGCCATTTTGTTCATCTTCATGGTGGCGTCAACTTTGGTAAGAGCTGTCAACAACAACGGCAAACAACTCTACCACAATGGCGGGGGAGAACCAGCCAGTGAAGCACGAATACACGGTACCTTAATGTATTATCTTGCAATCATCTTATTCAATTTTTGACAAATTGTTCTTAATAATCATCTGCTAACTCCCTCCATTGATTGAATTCGAAATTGACGTCCTTGATATGAAAACAAGTGCACAAATAATTAAACCGAACAAACACTCCAAATTCAATAAAAAATAATGGAATACAAAGGAATCTAAATCTTTATTTCTTCCCTTTCCCCTTGTATTTTACATGTGCAGCGCTCGAGAGCATTTTGGACAGTTTGTCAGCGTTTTATGAGAAAACCCCCAAACCGGCTCTACCGGAGGACGGGGACCCGTTTGGAGCCTACGACCCTCTCAGAGCATCAGAGACTGGGACAGAGGACGAGGATGACCATAAAGAGGACCCAGGGAAAAAGATAGAAACGGTTGTGAGGCAAAGAAGGATGTTATATTGATGGCAATGTTAGCGTGTGCCGCAAGGTGGCGCTGTGGAATTGATGATGATGCATATGTTGTACCTTGTCCTGCACCTCAGTGTAGTTGATAAAGCCTCATTTCGTTCCATTGATCTTAGATTTCCCATTCCATTGTTTATTGCTCGACTCTGTATTTATGTATTCGAAGAGAAGCTATGTATATATCAACCTGCCTGTGTCTCTCAAATGAACGATAACAACTATCTATGATAGACTCCTATTCTGTATTTTTAAATCTGGTCAGAGTGCACCCAAACGTCAGCCAATCTTGGTCGGCTGGTGTTCGGGGAAAGGTTCTGAATGTGTGACTACACAGCAATAAGATACGTCTGGCCTTTTACATTCTGTGAGGAAGTAATGAATGACGTTGTACCCTTAGGAGGGGATGCTGGAGACCTTTTACTAGTATACTGTTATTGTTCCATAAAAGTCGCCTGCACTTAAGGTTTGCCTCGTAACAATGTAAGGCCGTGTACCCGATTTCATTAGTCATGCTCGGTCAGATTATGGTTGTCTTTACTGCCGTCTGGCTTATCAAACGCTGTAAACAATAATCAAGACCCATAAAGAGCAGGATTTGGGGAGAGATACGGGCGGAATCACTGCAGAACCAACACAGGAGTTTTACACAGATTGTTTTAGGGCCAGGCTGTAATGTCTAATGCCACTTTGTCAACTTGGCGCCATTTTTCTGTCTCCCTCGTTCCATACGGGATATAAAACTCAAACAGAAACAATTATAATTCTAAACTGTGTTCAGATTTACAAAGAGACGTAAAACTTTGCTTAGTAAAGATGTATTTTGTACGCTATATTGAATTATCCTTGTCAACATGTAAGGGGTACTAGATGAACTAGGAATCTTTAATAAAAACAACACAAAACAGAATTCGACAGACTACATAAATTTCAAGTTTAATGTGCGCAATTGTGTAGTTGCCTTTGATCATAGGTTTATAATATATCCGTTTTGATCTTACGTAGTTGTACAATATAGCATATTTTATAATTGCTTCTCTGAAATAATGCTAAATATTGGCTTCTTCTGGGGTCTGCTATGCATAAAATACTTGCCGTTTTCCGTGCCTCGCCCATGTCTGTCTAATCACCCATTCCTAGCGACAGGCAGCGCCTCCAGGCAACATGGCGAGACTAAATAAGTCTCCTGAAAACTTTATAACATTACCATCTCCCGCGAGACATCAGATACCGCAGCCACACGTGTAATTACAGACCCAGACCTTTATTAATTCCTGCGATCGCCCGATATTCGCTCCCGACTCTCGGGCCGTCTCGGTTGGCCGGATGCGGGATGAACATGTAACGGAATGACATGTGGGCGCGCGGTGTTCGCTTTCACGAGCGGCGGGGAGGTCGGCCGGCCCAGCCGCTTGGAAGCCGAGACTTGAAAGGAGAGACTGACGGCCGCTGTCGTACGGATGGCAGCGGTAAGAGCCATATGGATGAGCCGGTGTGTGGAGGGGGGCATGAGGTGTAGTGGTAATGGACGCTTGTGTGACATGGGACGTCTGCAGGAAGGATGCTGGGGCTTAAAATAGAATGATAAACAGCCGCGCCATCTTCTGTGTTTGCTTTGTAGTCGGTAATAGAGGCGATTTGTTGTTGTTGATCTTAATCCCAGTGGATCACCATTGAAACTTTTCTCCGCATTCCACTTGTTCTGCAGTGCGAGTGTCTCACACATATAAAGGGCAAGCGAACTCAGTGGCTTTTTGCTCAACTGACATACTGACATACATATTAAGTGAAACAAATAGTTATCGTTTTAGGTACATGCCCAACTTATGTAAATTGTCCATTAGAAGCTTTATTGTTCCTACTACATGGGCTATCTGTAGAGAGGCGGCAGTCACATTTTAAAAATGTGATATTTTGTAATCCTGTCTCGTCTAAACTTTCTGTAGAGGCCCTGCAATGTTAAAGTTGGTAGGCACTAATGTTTCTACATACACTAATACACTACAAATATACTAGATATTAGAACCAGACACATGTCATGAGAAGCCAACATTGATCACATTAAAAACGTGTATGCATTACGTTACACTCCTAGGCGCCTACAGTGATTTTAACTGCCAGAAGTAATATATATATGTGAATGGGTGAATGATTGGAGGGTCCCCGTGTTATTTGCAAAATAAATACAACATACTCGTATCTATCTAATTTATATAACTATAGTTGGATTCTTTTGTATCTGACAACTGTATCCGTTCATCTTGTTTTGTTGTGACCTGTACTTAGCCAAGTGTGGCAAAAATGTGCAATAAAGGTCGTCATTCATTATCAAAACTGTTGTGTAACCCACGTGAAACACCTATTCACTTCAATGTTTCTTTTTAGTGTTTGTTTGATTTAAAGAGGAAGTTTCCTCTTGCTTGGAGCGTGCGAAACTATCACGTACTAACCTACCGCCTGGAGAGCTGGCCAGGGTCGAACCGGCATCACTCATGGTCAGAGCAACAACCGAACCGGTTTGCAAGAGCAAAATATTACATTCGTCAGACGCCCGTGGGTCTAGAGATACCCATTCACCTTTAACTTATCTAGATGTGAGACAGACTTCACAATATAGACGGACGGAAAATAAAGTACCTCGTTTATTCACGGAAGGTAAGATATGGTCTGCCAATGAATAACATTACACAACCCGGTCTCATACTGCATTCAGTGCGCATCGCAGGGTGTGCACTGTTGGGTCGCTAAGTGCTGCTCCACAACACCTCTACTCGGACCTCAAGGTTGCACTCTGTCTTCTGACGTCGATTCTAATGGCTCTTTAAGAACACTGGAAACAACTTAAAACTTTCAACGGTCTCTGTACACATATATCCACAAGTTCTTACACTTCAACATCTTTGAGAAATACAAACCTTACCAACAACGCACCGGATTCTGGAACGTTGTCAAAAGTCGTAAACATCTATCTTATATTTCTGCATGGATTTTTCGCTTTGAACAAGCTGATACCTCGTCATTCCAAAAACCTTCTGAATGGTTACCAGAATAAATGGGGAAACATTTGGGGAAATTGTGTATACGACTTATGAGATAACGATCGGTGCAAAGCTGTCTTCAGGGTTAAAAGCGACATGCTCTGTAAATCATATTGATCCAATCAAAGATGGGAATCAATTACATGTATAGTATAACACAACTGCGCACGACTGTTGCTCATAAAAGAACCAATAAGCAACTCATTCAAGTGAGTTGGAGTCGCACTGTACATCTAATTTCATGCTTTTCAATATTTTATGTTGTTCCAAGATATACTGCTTGGGAGTCTTTATAATGTGTCACTCGAGAAGTTTTTAGTGCAACATAAGATAAGAGATATGGGTAATGTCTTGGTGTGCTGATTGTATTTCAAGACATTGCTAGCTCTCGAAGAGTTTAGTCTGTTGTGCTGTAAGGATACTACAAGCTCTGCCCAAAAGTGTTGAGCTCCCTCATTTTGATAGTGAAAAATCTTTCCACAATGTTCATACGTGTACAAACATTGAGGGGGGGGGATCCTATCCTAAATACTTTCTTTCGGAATGCATTGCGTTTAAAGTACAAACGGTTCCGATTCTTCACTAAACCGCAGCTAATCGATGAAAAGATTAAATCGACCCGGAATCTAAAGCACCATAAAAACAAAAGAAGAGCACGTCAATTGTTCAGAATCGTATTGAAAAATCCATGATTATTTGTCCAACCATTAACAGCCTAGACTACCAGGTGCCTATGTAAGTAGCCGAGACTATTGGAAAGAGATAAACCCATTCTACCCGGCAGTACGGACAAGGCTGTCCGAACATCCTACATTATTTTCATCAGTCAATACAGAAGGTTGCGTACTTCGGGATTAGCTTCATGAAGGTCGTCATATGCATTACAACTTATCGGTAATAGTCATCTCAGGTAGGCTTAAAGAATCGTTTGCAGAACTCTTCTGATGTTTTCAATATCCGTTTTCCTGGGACATGTGTCTTCCCAGTTTAAGCCCGTGCATTAGTAACTGGCAGTGTTGAAAGTTTGATATGATTGTTGGGTAGATGTCTCCCGCTTGCTGCATTAGTTCCACAGCCATGTCAATGGTAAGATACTGGGTCTGCAGAACTCATGAATGAAATCTAGTTTCAGGAGGCTGCACTCTAAGAAGCATAGGTAACACGAACATAAAAGACCATAGTAACATTTAGTTGTGTTGAGAACTTCACCAACTGTGCTTTAAGTCGATGTAATGCATATATCATGAAAATGATAATCTGCATGTGTACATGTATAACGTAATGGCAAGTTCGTAAGCTAGAAGTGCCAGTAAAAAATAAATTAAAGGCAAAGACTGAAAAAGTTAGAAGGTATTGTCAGTATGGAACAAACCGTACATTAACTAAAACTGTTCCAATGAAAGTGTTCAGTTGTGTAAACATGTCCGTGTGCCGTTTGGGCACCGCAGCGTGGAGACAACTTCTGGAGTTGGGTTCGCTTCGTTTACGCCCGGCCTTGAAAAAAAGGTCATCAACGGAGGCGATGCCGGAAGATGCCGAGAAAGATCGATTTACGATATCCCAGTTTTCTGTGTCTTTGTTCCAAGCCGGTACTTTCTACGCCTGATCTCATCTATTTAAGACATAGGAGACCTTCTACTACTATTACGTATTATTAATGAACATGCACATCTAACAAACCACATCTAAGGACTCTGTCATACTCGCCGTAGACCGTCGTAGGATTTGATGTTATAGAAGCTTCAGCAGAAGCATCCACCCACGAGGAGCAAAGGCAGCATTTTCCGTAACAAGGCAGCAAAATTTTGCTGAATAACCCTCCAGCTGATCGATAGAAACTTTTGCAGGACGTTTGGGCAGTCAGCAACAGACGCCTTCCCGTTTTACAATGAATGTGAAAGAAGTGCTGATAACACAGTTATTCTTAACTTCCAGCAAACGCTGAAGCTCAACTACAGCACAGAAGTCCAATACCGCAAGAACTGTGGCCACAATGTAACAGACTAGCTCTAACGATTTACAAAAACTAACCATGTTGATTACTTTGGAACTGAACGATGGAAGTAGTAAGAAAAGTAAATCATTCAGATCTCACCGATCCCATTACTGCCGTAAATGGGCTACCTACTTTGTGAAACATCAGATTCTGGGCAGTGAAATATTCTTTAGATCCTCGCTTCACCTCAGGGTGACGTTTTCTACGGCAGTCAATAAACTCGGGCTCAGTTTTGAATTTAGGAGATCAAGGTTATGGCTCGATGTCAAATACAGAACGACATCTATGGGACAAAATATGTCGGCAAGGCTCAAAGGTATGGAACAGCGTCGAACGCCCTATAATCGTCTATTACATCTGCCGATATGCTGTAACGACCACATTGTCGGAGGAAATTGTGATTGCCATAAACGCAGAGGCTGAGGAAAATTGTTACAACAACGCAGCTGGCTGTGTGACCTTAACTAATGCAGTTGCATTATTCCACATGGCTTTAGACACGGCGAAGTGTACGAATTACGGTTCTGCACTTTCCGGCTTGGCTTTGAGAAGTAAAGACCCCAAAGACCTCCCACTCCAAGGCGTATAAGCCACGCCAGTGGTAGGAATAACAAATATAACAGCAATTTCAGCCGTACGGATTCTCTAAATGTCTGTTGCAGTGATTTTAGAAAGTGTAGAAACCCGTTCAGTAGAGCACAAAGATACTGAAGGTAAGCCAGCCCAATTTTTGCTTGTATAATTTCATCAAGAGAGAAGAGTACGTCTGGTACAGTATTGGCTCCCGAGATGAACCTTTTAGCGTTATTTGAAACTTCTAAGAAGGTCAGGTCATTGCTGAGCCCACAACGGTTATC